TGTCTTGATGAGCTGTGATTTCCTCACTCTAAAGCTGGCTTGGGACTGTTGGACTCTGTATTCCCAGCTCTGTGGTTCTCAAGAAGTGAAGGCTGGGCATTCGTTTATAGGTGAGGCGGGGTGAACCCCAAGACACTTCCTCTGCCCAGCAAGTCCACTTTCAGATAAAATTAGTGCCTGGAGAGAATGCTAGGAGCGTATAATTTAGAGTGTGGGGAGTTACACATAGCCAAGGAATATTTCAAGCAAACTCAGAAATATAGTGTTCCAGAATCCTCTGAAAATGTTTATCTCCCCAGAGAGAAGATTGATATTGATAAGCCCAGACAGGAATCCCCCAAACAGAGCCATCTTCCCTTCAGTAAACGAGAACCCCAACATCAAAGACTGTGTCTTTCACTCTCTTTATCACCTCCCTTTTCTCCCCCTCTCCCAGTGTTCAGGTCACAGTGGTCAGGTTTCAACTGTCTCTCTTAATTACATCCACCTTGCTATAAATAATAACAATAAAAATATCTGAGTGATACTTGCTAAAATAAAAATAACCTTGCAAAGGAGATGTTCTTAATAAGAATATTGGGGGGGGAATGTTTGAAATTAGGACATTGCAGTGGATTTGAAAGTGATAGGGTGGCCCATTTGGTATGGTTTCTGATGCCAGAGGACTCATCAAAATCCACCACTTACTGAGTTTCAGTGGACTATCAGAGGAAGTCACCCATGTCTGAAGAAACCATTAAAACACTCCTCATCTCCCAATAACATGTCTATGTGACTACTTTGCTTTCAGTAGATTTCACCCCAAATAATAAATCACAGCAGGCTGGATTCAGAAGCAGGTAAGAGAATCCAGCTTGAGTTAGATGTGAGAAATTACAAAAGTATAAAACATGTTCCTCACTCTTTTATAAAAACTGTCACAAATGAATATTTATATTAATATAATTGCCTATGTATCAGTCGATTAGTATTCAGTTTTAATTTCTAGTAGATTATATATATTTATATGTATGTATGTATATATACCATCCATTTTAAGACTATTTCAAAGTATAAATAGGTCCCATTACTTACAGTGGTTGAGTATTGCTACCTGAAAGTGAAGGTCACCATGTGCTTGTTCCCTCTGTGCACAGAGATTATAATCAGCATTATGGTTTCTTACTTGGAGTTGTCTTAGAATCACTGCTGCTGTGATAAAACAACTTAAGAAAGCGTTCTTGTTTACATGCTTGCCTGCTTGTTGATTTAAACATCCTGAATCACTGTTTTCTGAGGAAAGCCAAGGCAGGAATTCAAACCAGTCGGGAACCTGGCGGCGGGAACTGATGCAGAGGCCATGGAGGGTGTTGCTTACTGGCTTGTTTATCATGACTTGCTCAGCCTGCTTTCTAGTAACACTCAGGACCATCAGCCCAGTGGTGGCTCCACCCACCATGGACTGGACCTTTCCCTACCAATCAGTAATTAAGGAAATACCCAACAAGCTTGCCTGCAGCCCATTCTTACGGAGTGATTTTCTCAGTTAAGGTTTCTTATATTAGCTTGTATCAAGTTGACATAAAACTACCCAGGACAAATAAAGATTCCAAGGTTTTTTTAGGATAACTCTTGCATGGATGACAGAAGCCAAAATTATCAAGCAGAGGAACAAGAGCTCGACAGAAGACAAAGAACAACCAGAAATATCAATGCCATTATCACCACCATCATCACCATCATCATCACCATCACCACCATCACCGTTATCATCATCACCACTATCGTCATCATCACCATCATCATCACCATCACCATCATCACCATTATCACTGCTGTCATCACCATCATCACCACCATCACCATCACCATCATCACCATCATCATCACCGTCATCACCACCATCATCACTACCATCACCACCATTATCATCATCACTTTCATCATCATCATCATCATCACCACCACCATCATCACCATCAACATCATCATCACTGATATCACCATCATCATCATCATCACTTCCATCACCATCATCATCACCATCACCACCCTCATCATCGCCATCATCACCGTATCCTCGTACTACATAATAGAATATTTTGCACCTGTAAAATAAGAACAGATACATGAAGAAACATCCAGGTAGCATGTTCAGACAGAAAACAATCCTAAATCCTCTAAACTTAAGAGCCTGGTGGTAGAAATTAGAAAATTATCAAGTGGATGGGAAATGAAGTTAAGATCTTCTAGAAACAGACAATCAGCAACATGATGAGGGAAAGATGAGAAAAATTAGAAGATCAAACCATAAGATCCAAAAGTGTGAGGAAGAGGACCTCTAACAGCCACACAGTAAACACAGGATTCCAAAGCGGTTGGCTTTAAACTCCTTGGCCCCTGGATCCCTTGCATTCCTGCAGGTGATTAAGACCCACAAGCATATTTGTTTGGGTTTTATTATGTTTTGTTTATTGTGTTAGGAACTGAAGCTCAGAAATGATTAAACTCTCAATTTATATTATAATAATAATAAACCCACACACTTTGCCAAGTGACTCGATGACTTTATGGGGTTTGGGAGTTTTGTTTGTTTGGGAGTCATTTTGCATTTCTGAAGCTCTCTTTACTGTTTAACTTCATAGCAAACATCAGCATCCCTGTGTCTGCTCCTAGTTTTTCTGTGAGGCAAGCCAAGTCACAGAGCCTCTGGCAAAGTTCACTGTATTCTCAAGAGAAAATGGAATGGAAAACTGAGCACTTTTATGGATTAATGTCTTATAGGTGTCTTGAAGAAGGGAACGTTGGATGCTACATGAAGGGCAAGATCACATCCAAATTGCTAAATATGTGGTCAGAGAGCAGACCCAAAGGTGATCAGCACAGAGTCTCAGAATTATGTTAGGGAAGGACGGAAGGAAGGAAGGAAGGAAGGAAGGAAGGAAGGAAGGAAGGAAGGAAGGAAGGAAGGAAGGAAGAAAGAAAAAAAGAAAGAAAGAAAGAAAGAAAGAAAGAAAGAAAGAAAGAAAGAAAGAAAGAAATTCTAAAAACTTACAGAAAAAAAGTAACCAGTTAGGGAGAAAGGTGATACTAAATTCTCAACATCAGTATTTGAATTCCTGAGGCTCCAGGAACATTCAGAAGAAATTAGCCCAACTAAGAATCCCCTGTCACATGACATCGTCAGCCCATGTGATGGGGGGAAGACTGAAGATTGACCTCTTGTCACCATCACTCAGGAAGCTTCCAGAAACTGCATTCTCCGGAAATGGAAGGGGTACAGAGCACCCAACAGAGACAGCAAACCAAGGTGAAGGATGACCAAAATGGTCACCCAGCTGCCCAGCAGCTGGGGAATGGCCCATGACAGGCAGAAGAGTAGACCGCGGGCTGCAGAACCGAAACCGTCCAGCATCATCAGTACACCCCAGGAGGGACCCACCTGAGAAAATGTTTGGTTGCGGTGGGTTGAGATTTCTCCTCCTCACACACAGTTTGGCTGTGAATTAGCGGGGAGTACTTTGAAAACGAGCGAGAGACATGGAAATGAGAAAGCTTTTGTGACTTAAAAGGTTAATTTTTGTTTGTTTGTTTTTGTTTTTCAAAGCAGGGTTTCTCACTATCTTTGAAAATCACAATAGAACAGACTGACCTCAAACTCACAGAGATCTGCCTGCCTCTGCCTCCCTGGTGCTGGGATTAAAGACATGTGCCACCACTGCCCAGTTTAAGATTAATTTAAAAAAAATTTTTTTTTCAAATGCCACAGTTATAGGACCGAAGAGGTAACAGATCTCCTTTTTCTTTAGCTATGCGTTTTTCCCCCATCTGCCAGAGGTAAACATCTTTGTTAATTTTGTTTACCCAATGGTGTAAAAACAAGACAACAATCTTAAAACTCTTAAAAGATTGTTTTAACTCCAGGGAAGCTATGGTCCTACAAGAAAGGAAAGGCTCATAGTACATGCTAAACCTAAACTAGGAATATTATTTCCATAATATTCTCATTGTCTTAAAAATGTTGATTTGGACATTTGATCTATTCAGATTGCAAAATACACCGGGTTAAGAAGATTAGGGGTGGGTCTTTAAGATAATGAAGAAGGAAACACTAAAACTGAAACAATAAATAATAAAAACCCATCGTCAGAGTTCTTAGAGATAGAGACCTGATCCAACAGGAACAATGGATACATCTCAGCAGGGGCCACTGAGAATTCGAAGCACAAAGCAAGGAATGATTTTGTCCACTGAACTGTTTGTCTTTTTATTAAATGTATAGCACATAACATTTTAAAAATCAGCACCTGACATTAAATTACACTGTGAATGCAACTCGGAAATGTGCCACTTACCCCAAGAATATCTGGTGAGCAAGCAACTCCACCTTCAGAACTGTGTGCAACACTGGGACCTTAAACGGTTAGTTAGATCGCTAGCCGTGCAGCACGGTGGTCCTGCCACTAGAGCTTTATGAGTTTCTGTTTCAGCAGAGATGCCGCCTCTCGTGGAGTATCTGTCCTCTGAAACACTCCCTTTATTGACAATTTTGTTAGTGTGGTTTGAGCATCTTAGTCTTCACATGCAACAAGAATTCGCTGAAACTGGGAACTTATCCCTCTTTGCTTCGTGTGTGTGTGTGTGTGTGTGTGTGTGTGTGTGTGTGTGTGCACATGCATGCTGGCACCTTGCACAGCATGGATACCTAGGCCCTTCTTCAATGAGTGAATGTGTGTGAGCAACTTCGGCAACTGACGACAAATATCTGGGAAATAATTCTTATGCAGGTGTATCTCTGGTGTGGGAACTGCTGGTCCAGTCTGTGTCTAAACTCCTGCTCCACCCATGATCTTGGGCATCTCTTAACTAAGCCTTGGACACAGTGGCAATAGACCCGTGGCCCGATTACCTGAGTCCTTGTAAATGCCATTAAGAAGGTTTAAACCTTTAAGTTCCATAAAATGTCCTCAACCTGAAGGCTACTATCTAATACTTCCTGGCTATGTGTTTTGTTTTATTAGTGAACTTCTTCAAGATCTGGAAAACTGTGAAAACGATCCTGTGGCCATAGCAGAATGTTTTGTGTCAAAGGTAAGTACCATTTATTTTTCAGGGCCAACCAAGGCAGAAAGCATGTGCAGTTTGTTTTCTTCTTAAAGTTAGGATCAGTGGTTATTCAGTATTGAATTAAGGTAGCCAACCAATCATAAACATTTTTGTTTTCCTAGCTCTGTGTGTGTGTGTGTGTGTGCACATTTATAGAGAAGGGGGCTGTTAGCTCTAGTATTCCTATAGTTTGTATGGCAGTTGGATAATGTTACTAATTCTTTTCTTGGAAAGACTTAAAGTTTGAGATGGGAGAATCTAGAATAGAGAATGTTTTTTAAAAAATCCATATAGATCCATATACCATGCCTCTAAATTCACTCCAAAAATTCCCAAGAATCTACATGTTTTTGTTTGTGTTGTGTGGTACTAGTCTGGTTGATGCTGCTACCCTTTAAGGGGTAAAGAAGGGCAAAAGTGATTTCCTAAGTCTTAAAAGTGTCCTGGGTTTCCTATTCTTCTTCCATATCACATGACTTGACATGGACCTGACACAAAGACAGGTGTCAGAAGTTCATGCTCTGAGCTAGGATGGCTGATATCCTGCTGTAGTGCGCATGCCGCTGTCTGGCACACACAGAATCCCGTCTCGTTCAAGTTTCGCTTTGAGACTCAACAACTTTTCTATGGAAAACCTCTGGAAAAAATCAACTTGCAGAAGAACTTTATGTGATTTCCGTATGAAGGTTTGAAGTGGGCAGCGTTGAAGCAGGTTCATAGTAGTCCTTTGAAATCAACCATCCATTAGCATCTCATTTAGAGCCCTGAAGAGTCCAAGATGACTAAGGTGTTGCCCCAGCCTTTGCTGGCTCTAGATTGTTCCACACAGTTAGCTCAGGTGGCCACAGACCCATCTTCGTGGCTGGGAAATCAAAGTTAACAGCTCTCTGGGTTTGACTGAAACCACTAAATGGCACTCAGTAGGCTTGTATATAACCCCCTCCTGTCTTTTCGGAGCGTGTGTGTGTGTTCCCATGTAAAATGTTGGTACGCACACGCTTACACACACAATATTTTTTCCATAGCCACTTTCTTTGTAATGGTTCTCTTATAGGGTAGGAAATGAAAGAAGTGAAAACAGGGGAAATGGTGTAAAAGCAAAAGGAGCGTTTCAAAGATCGGCATCTGCGCAATACTGACGTCTCAGAGAATGCTCGGCTTCTACTGCTAACTGTAGTCACAAGCTGATTAAAGTGCTTCCAGCGTTCGCTTAACTCTGCCTTAATTGCTCACATAAAAGTTTGTTTATGTGCCTCCCTGCCAAGTCCCAAATCTCATTTTTCATTGTAATATTGCCAAGTTTAATTAGAAGACCAACTTGGGAGCTCGACTCTTTCACACGGGAGCAGGAGTCGGGAGGGCGTGTCACTCAGCACCCTGACATTTAGACAGGGTTATGTCTCTCTGAACCGCCACCAGCTGCTCTTCTCAGAGAGGGATGGAAAATTGCTTTAATTGAGAGGTCATTAGCAAAAGAGGTAAAGCTGGCAGTTGACTTTGCCTTTATGGGAACCGCTGGGGCTTTCACAGAACACCATCTTTGGCCTGGCTTCCCTGTGTGGTGTGTGTAGGCTAATGAAGTCCTAGCCAAAGAAAGAAAATACTGTTCCATCTTACTGACTGCTTCCAGAAGAATCAGGAGGACACTGAGGGACAGCAATAAGTGTTCTCTCCTGGGCCTGATGCCCCATGTGTATTGATGTGCACTCGGGACTCTGGGAGCATCTTGAAAGACTTGAGTTTGTCCCCAGATTGCCTTCTCGGCCACCCTCATGCTCATCCCTCACTGGACTGTCAGCACGCTTACTCTGGGCAGCTGAAGGAGAGATCGCCTGACTTCTTAGTTCCCTTTACCCTCCTCTCCCTTCGTGCTCAGTCACCTCCCACGAGCGCTCTTCTTCTTTCATAGCCGAGGAGAATGAGAACTCACTCACACAGAAGGATGCGACCAATACTCACTGCACGTAAATGCATGTGTGCATGCACACACATGTATATACATAATACACACAGACCACACGTGCCACATGTTAGAATTATCATCAAAAAATTTCTGGTGTTGAAAATCCATGTAAAGTCACTATTATGTTCCCCATATGCTACCTACCTGTGTATTGTCCAAGAAAACGTCCCTGGAACCAAAGACTTACTGTAAGGGAGATGGGGGAGGTGAGAGAGAGAGAGAGAGAGAGAGAGAGAGAGAGAGAGAGAGAGAGAGAGAGAGAGAGAGAGAGACTTTGTGGCAGAAAAGCACTAAAATCATGGACTTCTTCCCTCTGTCACCCATTCAGCAGCGGTTGGGTGTCCTGTGTGCTCTCTTTGGCATCCCTGTACCCTAAAGCTTTGCATTTTGCATAATTACCTCCTTTTGCATGCTAATTATAACCTAAAAGAGTTGAATAATTAGAAAGTAATATCTGCTTTTTTCTAATTTGTATATTTTCCTAAATGCATGTTTAAAAGGGTTTGCGCTGGCATTGTACAGTGAATAATGACATTTAAGCATTAATAGGCTTAGGGACTGTTGAAAATATGTATGTATATACACATATATATGTAGTGGCATTTCACTTTTATTTTAATAAATAAAACTTGCCTGAATATCAGAGAGTAAAACAGCCCCACTGGTCAGCCTTACTACCTAGGCAGTGGTAACACACACCTTTAATCCCAGTAGCCACACTAGTTGCCTTAGAAGCCAGGTGGAGAGTGCCTTTAATTTCAGTGGTACACGCCTTTGGTCCCAAAACTAGAGAGGATTATAAAATGGGAGGAGATAGCTCTCAGACGCAGTCTCATTCTGAGATTCCTGGACGGGATTGTCATTTTGGACTGAGGTTGAGGTAAGAACCAGCGGCTGGCTGCTTTTTGGGTCTTGAGGTTGAACCCCAGTATTTGTCTCTGAATTTTTATTAATTGTGCTTCATGTATGTATGTGTATGCATATGTGTGTACACGTATATGTACATATACACAGTGGATATATATTATGTATATGTATGCGTACATGTGTATCCATTGTTTGTAAAGTCTGCAGATGTTTGCACATCTAGGGTCAAACCTGCATTTAATCCTCTGTTAAGGGTATGTTCCCTCATAGAGAGCAAAATCTAGATCAGGGACAGAGTCACAATGTCATAAAATTGAGAACCCCTAGGACCTGACTAAGAACTAGTGTATGTAGGTTGACTATATGTCTCAACTGCAGTGTATCTTCATGCAGCCTATTGTTTTCAGTGTGACATGTCCCATGATTCTAAAGGTCTCAAAACATGAGGATAGGGAGCTGCATGCTGGTCTATCCCAGGGTGAGAGAAGAACAGTGACCACCCCCCCACCCAAGTCAGTGTGGAGCAGTGGGGGAAGCTGTAGTCAGCTTGTGTGCTTGCTGAAGGACCTGAAGAAATCTCTTTGCTTTTCTTATCCCTGGAGCCAGGGCCATCTTGCATAGCCAACACATGCCTAACTCTATGTATAGAGAATCCAAGTGGAGGCTGTAGTGGGGCAGGTGTTTGCTAGTCTCATAGGATAGCATTTACTGTGTAAACTGGTAGGTCCATGGCCCATAGAACCTGTACTTTATCAGTAGAGGTCAAAACTCAAATTATTTATATTTTCCGATGCTTAGAAGTAGACAGCAAATTTAAGAATTGTAAAGTACTATATTGGAAAATGTGGTATTTAAAACGCTGTTTAGGCTGTAAGGAAACAGATTCAAACTGGCCCAGATACTATGGAGTGGAATCTGGCCGAATCTAGTATTTAGAAATTGGAATTTACCCTGTCACCTACCAATTCTGCTGCCAGAACACTATTCATAGGATAAACTGACAAAATGTCAACGAGTCTGACATGATACTTGGCACTGGTACTTGATCCTCCAAAGACTACAGACAACCTAAACAAAAACCTGCTTGAATACTCTTTTGTATGCTCAACCAAACAATGGAGTACAGTGGAGCTATGCAAGCAAACAAGAAATGCCTCCATACACTGCTTGGGGGAGGGGGAGGCCGTTAAGTGTGCCCAGCACAAGCTTCTCAAAGCATGGTCCCTGTACCTGTGACATCAGTGTCACAGGGGAGCTTGATAGAAATGCTTGCAACCAACTAAAGAAAAAATTGGGGTTCGGTCCAGTTATCTGTTTTCATAAACCTTCCAATGACGTCCACTTAATTTCACTCCTACATGTGATTTGCTTATCTGATAAAGGGAAGTCTGTGTTTAAAAACAAGATGACTGATAAGATTTAAATTATAGGAGAAAGGAACTGGATGTGGAGGCTGAAATCTAAGAGGAGAATCAGGAGTTCAGGGCCATCCTCAGCTACATAGCAAATTTGAGGCCAGCCTGGATCACATGAGACTCTATTTCAACAAACAAGAAAACTGAGGAAAGGAAGGAATCACCTAGAATGGAGCAGAATGAGCTAACTTCTCTGAATATGTCTTTATATGGAAACCTGGATTTGCGTGTATATAATTCAAAAACCTAAAATTAAGGCTTTAAAAATCCAGGTCTGTACACCAAGAGTAAAATGAAGCAAGCACAAAAAGGTGTGCATGCAGTTGGTAGGCAGCCATGCAAAGGAATTTCTTTTTTTTAATTTATTTATTTATTTATTAAAGATTTCTGTCTCTTCCCCACCGCCGCCTCCCCGCAAAGGAATTTCTAACGAACTTGAAAAATATGTGGTGGCCAAAATACACCCAACACATGTTTATGGTTATGTCCCTGTTCTCCTGTGGAAATTATAGTGTGCTCTGGGATAATGCAAGCAAGTACTGATGTTAGTGCCCTTGGGGAATGAAATTACCAGGAGAAATAAAATATAGAAGCAGAAATGTTCCAGAATAATTAACCCTGTGGTTCTGAATCTGAATGACAGGTATTGTCACCCTTATCCCAAATGCTTAGGACCAGAACAATTTCAAATGTTTTCAGGTTTCAGGAACCTTTCATGTACATAACACAGTATTTTAGGGATAAGATGCAAGTGTGGACACAGAATACAGGAACGCTTCCTCTGCACCTACACTGAAGTGATTCCGTATAATATTTTCAGTGCAGCTGTGGCTGCTGTTTCCCAGAGTGTGAACTCAGGAGTGAGTTTCCATTTGTTTCATCATACTCATTCTCAAAGATTTGGATTCTTAGCATTTTTTAAAAAAAATATTGTATTAGTATGGACCAAGTTTCCTTTAAAATCTCCTAGAAAAATAATATTTCTAGCTTTATCCATTTAAAAGCCCTAAAAATAATGATAAGCCCAATAGCTAGAGCATTCCTAATACCCAGACTTGTCTCCAAATACGACTTGCTACAGAGGGCCAGGGTTCTGGGAAGCATGGGTGTGTGGTTGGTTGGGAAATCCAGGAGATGTTCTGGAATATTTTATCACACATAAACCATGAAGTATCTGAAGATGCAAGGTCAAGTCACAAACACACAAAAGCTGGCATCAGAGAAGAGGTGCCTACTGGCTAAAGACTGGTTGTTAACTTGACTACCTCTGGAATTAACCAAAACCTAACTGGCCAGGCACACCTGTGAGGGATTCGTTTTTCTTAGTTAAATCATTTGAAGTGAGATGATCCAATTTCAATCCAGATCTTTAGAGGTGGGAAGATCCACCTTTAATCTGGGCCACACCTTCTTCTGGCAGGCTATGTAAAGGACTTGAAAAAAAGGAAGCGCTCTCTCTCTCTCTCTCTCTCTCTCTCTCTCTCTCTCTCTCTCGCTATTTGCTCTCACTCTCTCTGGCAAGTCTATTCCTTCACTGGCATTAGAACCTACATCTTTGGGATTCTGGTGTCTACTGAAAACCAGTTGAGATGGCCAGCATCATAGACTGAACCTTCCGGTGATGTCCAGACAGCCATTGCTGGACTAACTGAACCACAGCCTATAAACCACTTTAATAAACTCCTTCCTAGATGGATGGATGGATGGATCCATTCTTTAAACTCTCTTCCTCTAGAGAACCCTAACTAATATAACAAGTAAAATTAGTTCATTGAAAACAACTGAACCTCATTAAATAAATATGTTTCTATTTATGAACTTACAGTGTCATTAAAAAATCAGGCTCTTTATGGGATATTAAGAAATCAACACTGGGTTTTGATCCTACTGCACGTACTGGCTTTGTGGGAGCCTAGGCTGTTTGGATGCTCACCTTACTAGACCTGGAAGGAGGTGGGAGGTCCTTAGACTCCCCACAGGGCAGGGAACCCTGATTGCTCTTCAGGATGATGAGGGAGGGGGAGTTGATTGGGGGAAAGGGAGGAAAATGGGAGGCGGTGGCGAGGAGGAGACAGAAATCTTTAATAAATAAAAAATAATAATAATAAAATAGTGAGAGTTTTTCCAAATCAAAGATTAAATAGCAACCAGCCTGTATTTTGAGTATTTGTACAATAAAATGCTGAAACTTGGATAGGAAAAAAAAAAGAAAGAAAGAAACCAACACATTATTCTGAGAATAACAAAGAAGGACTAACTGAACTAGAAACATCACCATTAGTAACCCCTAGAATCATACCTAAATACTAATTACCAATGGCTGTTAACATCACACAAAAAAGATGTCCAGGCATATGTGTCCCCTGATGGGAGTATAGTGCAACCTATGGTGGATTTTGCCAAAATATAAGACCTCCATCTGAGTAAACCTCTATTAGAACTCAGCAGTGCAATGGACAGGACACAGAGAAGACTTTAGTGTGTCACCAGGACCACTGAGACAGGGGCCTTGTGGGTGCAATTAATGTTGTGGTTTCTTCAGCAACGAAATTACAAGGTAAAAACCAGTCAAGACTTTGTAAAGATCAATGAAGGGTGGAGGATTCGCCAAAATGCTAAGATGCTGGGTTCCAGCCCAGTGTTACAAAGCAAACAAGCAGAAACAATCAGCCAGTTGATAACATTTGCTGTGTACGAACCTTCTATGGGCTTCAAGTCAAACAGTAGACTGTGAAAGGAAAGGAAATCAAACCAGGAAATGTGCACAGTTATTGGCACGCCTCATATCATGGAATTATTTAAGGATGACCATGGAATTGTGGCGCTTCTTGACTAATGCTTAGAGACAGGGGCTGTGGAGAGATGGCTCGGAGATTAAGAGCAGTATCTGCTCTGTTTAAGGACCCAGGTTTGATTCCCAGCACCCACATGGTGGCTCACAAACATCTATAAATCTAGTCCCAAGGGATCTGAAGCTGCCTTTTGAGTCCCAAGGGCACCATGCTTACATGTGGCTCTTAAACATGCATGCTGGCAAAACACCCATACACATAAAAAGTATGGTGTAGGAGGTCCTTCTTTCTATGTATTGCTTGTATTGGTTAATGAATAAAGAAACTGCCTTGCAGTTTCGTGGATGCTCACCTTACTAGACCTGGATGGAGGTGGGTGGTCCATGGACTTCCCACAGGGCAGGGAACCCTGATTGCTCTTTGGGCTGACGAGGGAGGGGGACTTGATTGGGAGAGGGGGAAGGAAAAGGGAGGCGGAAGAGGGGAAGAGACAGAAATCTTTAATAAATAAATAGATAGATAGATAGATAGATAGATAGATAGATAGATAGATAGATAGATAGATAGAAACTGCCTTGGCCTGATAAGGCAGAATTTAGGTAGGTGGAGAAGACAGAACTAAATTCTGGGAGGAGGAAAAAAAGTAAGAGAGACGCCGTAGATCCCACAGAGACAGAAGCTGGGAATTTTCCCCAATAAGCCACTGCTACATGGCAATACACAGATTAATAGAAATGGGTTAAACTAATATGTAAGAATTAACCAATAAGAAGTTAGAGCTAATGAGCCAAGCGATGATTTAATGAATACATTTCTATGTGGTTATTTCGGGGCTAAGATAGCCAAGCGGCCAGGACAAACAAGCAGCCCACTCCTTGCAACAATTGGTGCCCACCTGGACAATAATTCTCACCCTTCCCCTTCCTCCCTTTTTTCCTTCTTCCTCTCTTTCTTCACCTTCTCTTTTCTCTCCTCCCCCTTCCTCTATGATTCCCTCCCTCCTTTCTCTTTTGGACAGTCTTAGTGTTCAGTCCAAGCAGATGTCAAGCTCCCAGTCCTTCTGGCCCCGCCTTGTACCACCATGACTGACTTGACAATTGGTTTCTTTCCTCACCCCAGTCCACAGAAGGAAAAAGCCAGTCTCCTATCTCTTTAGAAAACTTAATTGACATCATTCTTCATTGACCTAAGTGTGCTCTATTTCCTTCTCTTGTGATCCAGTTTGTAATGTCTGACTGATTTCATAATCAATAAGTGCAATAACATAAGAAGCAATGTTTGCTTTCTATTTCTGTGGAATTGTTATCCTACCTTTTTAAAGAGCTGTCTGACTCAGTATCAATGTATTATTTCCTATAATAAGAATTCACAGCTGAAAGACTAAGATAGCCTTGGAAGTGAAGATTTTTAGGGAAGGTCAGATGGGGTCCATTTGCTAATCAAAGCTTATTGCTTTTGAGTCATGGCTGCTGTGCTAGGTGCATGTAGGTGAGTAGACTTAGGCTCTGCTCTCAGGTGATATTCAGTAGGAGAGAGGAGTCAACAGGGATTATCTGTCAGGAAGACAAATGTGGCCCCTGCCCTAACCCTGGTAAGCCAGACAGAAAACATCAGTGCCATTTGGTCAGTTCTCTCAGATATGAACACTGGATATGGTGGATGGCCACAAGTAGAAACAGTTGGCTCAACCAGAAAGCTCCAGGAAAGCTGCTTGGAAGAAATGCAGCTTAGACTCATTCCCAAGGCAGTGGCTAGGCAGTGAGAAAAGCAGCAATAGCCATGGGAAGAGAGGGCTACATATGCAGGGCTTGAGCGTACGCAGCAGCTCTCCTGTGTACTCCAACATAGTCTTACTGTATGGTGTGTAAATATAACCTACTTATATGTTCATAAATACCTTGGGGCAAAAATTTTATTTTCGTCTCTTCCTGTCTTCAGAATCATTTGGACACAGTAGGTGTTCAGAGTGTTTATTGTACTTCATGCAATATGGATTGCATTATATGGATTCTGGGTAAAGAGAAGTAGGCACAGATGATGGCCACACAGGTTCAGGGGGTGGACCAATGTGACTGGAACAATAGAAGCCTAATTGCTGTCGCCGGTGTTGTTTTTGAATGAACGCTGTTGTCTATGCTCCTGGGCTTATGAAAGTCTCTTTTGTTTCCTCGCAGAGTGAAGAGTTCCACATTTATACCCAGTACTGCACCAACTACCCAAGGTATGGCTTAGAAAGGGGTGGAGTCCTCCTCCCTTTGTTCTGTTTCAAGTCATTAGATGCAGTGGCAGGCACTGTATGCCTGGCACTGTGCTGAAGACCAGGGAAATGCAAAAATGCAGAGAACGGTCTGTGGGGATCTCAGGTATTGTTTGGTGCCTTTTGGGCTGGGAGGATCCATGAAGCTGGAGTAGGGAAAAATCATGAGCAACATAGAGTAAGACCAGGAACATCACTGCACAGCTCCAAAGGAAAATTGATATATCCGCGTTGTTGCATAGGGCTCTCTACTTCTCTGTTAACCTTTTATTATGTGTGCCTCATTTTGAAGATGTACTTGTGTAACATAACTGGGAAGAAAAGAAGTTCTGGTTTTTTTGCTTGGTAAGCTTTATGAGTTTTCCAAGTTTTATACAGTTCAGCAAGCACGGGTCCTGAACAGTCAGCATGAGGAATGGGGGCTTCCAGCCTCCAGGGGCTGTTGGCTTCATTTTGCTCATTTCTAAGATTGGAGATGGGAGAGCAGTTCAAGGAGCAGCCTGGACAATGTACAGATCGCTGAGTAAGAGCCAAAAGACAAGGCTACGTGTAGCTCTAGGCATTTCTCTTCCCTCCCCAAGACATTTATTGGATGTTTGAGTCCTCAGCAGTGTTAGAAGCTATAAAAGCAAATGCTAAGTTAAGCATGCACAGTGACCCAGAGATTCTGGGGGATTAAAGGGATGCAGGACACCCACCCCAGTGCTAGAAACCCAACAGAGTCTTACCAAGTGCAAATCCATCACCACCGCTTCCTTCTTCCCATTTTATGGATGACCCTGCTGAGAGACCCATGACAAACTAACTCCACAGGGTCCTGTAGCTGACGAATGGCCCAGTAAGGACGTCAACCAAGTTGCTCCAGTCTCAGGCCACCCACCACGGTATCTTCATAAAGTTCTGGAGTTTTCTGTGAAGTCATGATCAACAGGCTCTTGCAGCCCAGCCAGAAAGAGGGCTGAGGTGACTTGCACACTCTTGGTCAATCTTGGCACAGTCGTCCACAGGAATACAGTATCGGTAGAATCCTCATGGCTACCGAGGAAAGGAAGGGCAAACACCCCTAACCTGCAACCCAGGAGTTGCCTAAAAGGCTAGTGTGTAGTAACTAGCCTGAAGTTCAGAATTACTTTTAACCACCACTTCCCAGTGTAAAGATTTAGTCTTCTGTAAACGGTGTTCAGGATGTGACACCATGGTTATTCATTTAGATGGACAGCTGTACTTACCCTGGGTTTCTCTTAAAACAAAAACCCCACATGCGTATTCAAGCATTTGCCATAATTCTGGTCTATGGACTCACCCATACTTTGCGAGGTTACACTCAAGCATTTTTTTCTCTGATACAGAATGAACTATGGGATGCATCAACTAAAACTCATGGTCCGTAAGCCAAAATGCCATGCAGCAGAGGAACCATAGAGTCAGCCCCCAGCCTGTCCACAAAAGTTCTTCCCAAGCAAAAGGGGAAGCTGTTCAAACTGACAAATCAGTGAGGTGCTAGGGCTGACGGTCAAAGGGGCTAGCTGGGGAGGTCTGTTTGTGTGCATATCGCTGTGAACATACCATCCAAAGACACAACCTCAATATGGAAACTTTCCTAATCAAAGCTTCAGAAGGCTCTTCTGGCTTACTGATGAAATCCTCCGCTTTGCCATCATGGGCTGTTTTGGGATCCTGGGAAAGTGAGCTCATGCGTGCAAGAAGGATTTTCAGAGCCTGTCGTTCATGCTGCAATCTTCCGTGCTCAGGGCAGAGCTGCAGAAACTAGGGCCCAGCATTCCTGCCTTCAAGCAGCTCGTATGGGGCAGAACCCGATTGCACATACCAATGAAATAGTATAATAAGGGTGATTAAATACCCGAATGGGAATTAATATGGTATGAACTTGGTAACATGCAGTGGAAGCTAAAGACATGTAAAGTAACAGGAAATAACCCCAGTGGGGATAGTTAAGGACACTTTCCTGGAGATTGTGTGTTTTGATTTTGAATCTGCCTTTAAAGAAATGTCCCGTGTTAACAGAGGGACATTCTCAATGAAGAAGGCATGCCCAATTCTTGTCCAGTGTGTGACTTCATATCTACAAAGAAATATTTCCATGCCTGTCTCCGGGCAGTTTGCCTGGAGACTTACTGTTCCCATGTCCCTGTCTTAGCAAGTCAAGAGTGCCAAGATTTTTCTCCCCACTTGAGACCCAGGCTGGTGGTTCTAAATGTGGCAGGCACACCTTGGCAGGTGACTTCTTCCTTCATTCCAATCACACCCCAGTGATTTCACTGTGGAGAGGGACAGGAAGGTCCCTCCCTCCTTCCCCGGGGGACAGACACAAAAGAGGTCATGCCATTGTCCTCAGATGCCTGCCCTATTCCTGAGATCTCCGGGTACCTGGAGTGTCCTGTGCCCTGATTTGCAGTAGATTCCGGTCTTGAGCAAGAGTGAGGCCATCAGTCAACCACCAGGCTCCTGAGCAGCTGCACCTGATTCCAGAAGGCTTCACAGAAATGCCCAGGTCACACAATGAGGACTTTAAAATTCAGGACTCAAGGGAGAAATAAATCCATTTAAGCTGGTCTTTTCTAAAGCAGATAGCACAAAGGGATTGTAACAGGTTAATTACAAGACTTTCCACGGAGTCTTATTTTATTGTTTGACTCCCTCTGACTGTCTCAATTAATTCTGGAAACATGCCAGAGACTTGGGGAAGAAAAGAATAAAATGATTCCCACCTGCATCCAGGTTATACCGTAACATCAGAATTTTAATTTGCACATCTGTGTGATGTAGGATTCTATCAACTAGCTTGATGTGGAAGGGATAACCATTGTTAGAACTGTTGCGTTAAGATGTGTTGGAGCTACATATTACTTTGGGAACTTCGGAAGGGACTCTAGCCCCCTTTTCTGTTATCCTGCAGTGACATATCAAGAAAGAGGAGAAGACTGACGGTAAAGGGGGCAGCTAGTCAGAGTTCCTCTGAGAAAATTCAACTCTTAGAAGTGGTATGGTAGGCACATTTCACAAGCCATCTGAGGTGGGTGACAAGTGTCCTAATAGGAGACAAAGTCTGTGCTAAATAAAGGAACTGTTTTGTCTTAAACCAGGGATGCTGTGCCTTACAACCTAGCCTGTGGGAACTGGGTCCAGATGTGCACCATGAAAACTGTACAAAGACATCTGGATGGGGCACGTGTAGGGGCTAACATTCAAAACAAATGTCTCTTGTCAAGCTACGGTGTCCTGGCATGGGACTGTGTGTTCTTGGAGCCCAAACCCATGGTTCTATGCCACTGAGTTCAGTTCCCTTTTCTAGTTCAGCCCATCCAAAGGGACACCTTTCTCTGACTTGCTCCGAGGGATTCTAGCCGGGAGCTAGCTCTGTGGCTACCCTGCCCAGTTTAGGATAGTTCCACCAAGATTAGCATTTAAACCTCAAGCACCCATGTAAAACACAACCTCCTCATGACAAGATGCATGTGCTTCTCTTGCAGGTCTGTGGCCGTGCTCACCGAGTGCATGAGGAACAAGATGCTGGCCAAGTTCTTCCGGGAGCGCCAGGAAACTCTGAAACACTCACTGCCCCTGGGGTCTTACCTCTTAAAACCAGTTCAGCGGATTCTCAAATATCATCTTCTTTTACATGTAAGTCTCGGCCCTTGCTACAACTCTTGGCAAGGGATGGGGACTTGGGGTGTGTCTATTAAGTTGGGGTGGGGGGCGATGCCAGAAAATGTTGTGGTCATATGGAAACGTTTTCTACACTCATGCTTCACAACTGCTTTAAGGAATTAGAGACGCTTGTGTGCTAGGGCTACAGCCACATCAACAACAGCCAAGCTGAAGGATTAATTGGAACTTGGATTATGATAGGGCTGAGGAATGCCTTGTGCTGGACAGGGTCAGTTTTAGGCAGGAAGCTAGCATCTCAATGAAAAACAGATCCCTCTTCCTGTTTTGCCCTATTTCCCTGAGACCCAATTGAGTAGGCAGCTGGGAGGGAAAACTTTCCTAGACTGGCCCTTGTGTGAGAGAAAAGAGAAAGTGCTTGAGACGGGGCGGACAGATGAACAGTGCCTTCTCTGAGTAGGGGCTTAGCCTCATTTCTGGCTATTGACCCTTCCTAGTGGTTTCTACTACTTGTATAATAGTCAAGAAGGCTTTGGAAATGAGATGGACGTCGCTCTCAGATTCACCTCTCATATTCTCTGATGAAGTCTGTAAAGATGGAGAAAATTCTATTGATGATCATTTGCGTTCTACAAGTAGGATTTGCTTAGCTTTGCAGTGGAGGGCGGCAGAACAGTGGGCTTGAGGAGCAGAACCCTGAGGCAAGTCTGGCTGCCTCCAGATCTTGTAAGGTGCCATGTTCACTCTGGCTCATAGACATTGAATAAAAATGAAATACTGTTTGTAATTTGCTAGTCTGTATACCAGATTAAGAATCTTTTCCTAGAGGGATTTTAGAGGTAGAGACAGAAAGATCAAGATGTTGGTGGTGTTCTCAACTAGACAGAAGGTTAGGAGCCTGCTTGTGCTACATAAGTCTTTCCTTCAACCAAACCAACCAATCAATCAAAAAATAAGTAAAAATTTAAGTAAAGGGATTTTAATCCAGAGCTCTGTTTTATCAGCCTGCCTGGTATCTCTCCCACCTAGCTACTAATCAAGCCCAACCCAGTGTCGCTTCCAAGATCAGACAAGATCAGGCGTGTTCAGGGTGTCGTGACCATTGACCATGTGTGGTGTCTCTTTTGAAATGAGTCTATGTTTCTAACTGGGGCAATCATTTCTGGTTTGCTGAGTTCACATATGTAAAATTTTACCAGAAAAATGTCTTTGTCTACTTGCTTAAGTAGCTCTTCCTTGGAGAATCATCTGTTGTCTTATGAAGGCACACTGGAAATAGTTCCTTAATTCTTATACCAATCCTAATGACCAGCTAGATTTAGTGGGGTAAATTTGCTAAGTTAGTGTCCAGACCATTCTTGAAAAAAAAAATACCACCTTCCCAGAATACATCTCTGCTAAACTATGTTAATATGACATATAAGACATCAGTCTCCTAGAGAATCAGATAGCCATCAATCAACAGAAACCCAAGGTCTCAACTCCTCTGAGCAATCAAGATCCTTACAAAAACTTAATTGACATTTATAAATGATTATGAACGAAGGAATAAGGAAAGAATGGTAGCTGAATTAATCCCAAATTATCCTCTTGTTGCCTTTGAGGTGTTTTTGCTTTTACACGTAACTTAGAATATGCCTCCAGAATTCACATCACATCAGAGTTGAGCCATACATGTGTACCCTCACAGGAACAAACCGTGAACAGAGAGAAGCCATTTGCTTCATTGACTACATGGGGGAGGGGGGGTAAAAATCTAATAACCAGTTTCTTTTTTTAGGAAATAGAGAATCACCTTGACAAGGACACCGAAGGCTATGATGTTGTGCTCGATGCTATAGACACGATGCAGCGAGTGGCCTGGCACATCAATGACATGAAGCGGAAGCATGAGCATGCTGTCCGCTTGCAGGTAAGCCAGGCAGCAGTTCCCAGCTTGCGCTCCAACACATCACTCTTTCCAGATCACATGTTCAGGCTGCTTCAGTAGTTCCCCTCACTTACAGTCCTCACCCCAGTGTTCCCTGAAGACGGGTCAATACTGACCATTGATTAGAGTGGCTACATAGTGTTGAGGGAGGCCGCTCAGACCCAAAATAAATACACAGAAACTATATTATTTGCAATACTATTAGGTCAATAGCTTAAACCTCTTTCTAGCTAGCTCCTATATCTTAAATTAACCCATTTCTGTTAGTCTGTGTATTGCCACATGGCTATGGTTTACTGGCAAGGTTCTGGCGCATCTGTCTCCTGTAGTAGCTACATGGCATCTCACTGACTCTGCGTTCTTTCTCTCAGCATTCAGTTTAGGTTTCCTGCCTAGCTCTACTCTGCCCTATTCACAGGCCAAAGCAGCTTCTTTATTCATTAACCAATAAAAACAACACATATACAGAAGGACTTCCCACATCAACATATGACAAAGTTTATCACTTTTAAGCTAATTGGTTTTGTTATCGCTTCTTTGATGACCCCGATTAAATATGAGTCTCCCAAGGCTTTATATGATATCATTACAAGTCAATTACAATTCTTGCTAAGCAAATTTTCTCCAAACTATTTAAGGAATTTAAAGCCCTTATTCCTCTCTCACCAGTTTATACAAAACCATGACATACAGTGTTAGGGTGATCATAGGGCAAGTGACCCATTGGGGAGACTATAGGCGGAAGCAGCTCCTTTGCATTTCTCTTGAGACATGAATCTCAAGCATATTATTTTAGTCTCTTCAGGTTTAAAATGTGACAGTCAGGTGACAGGTTTGCCAAGGTCCGTTCAGTACCAATATCATAAACCCTGAATTCTCAGGAACTTTTCCACCCCCACAGGAACTTTTGGTTATGTCCTAGACTCCTCAAAAAATGAGCCACTTAAAAAACAAGGAACTGGGGAGAAGGTTGAGTGGCTAAAAGCATTTGCCACTCTTGCAGGAGATTCAGGTTCAATTCCCAGAATCCACATAGATGGAGGCTCACACATGTCCGTAACAATTCCAGGGGATCTGACACCCTCTTATGGCTTCATGAGTATCTGGCTCACACGTGATATACATACAGACATAGATGCAGGCAAAACACTCATGCATAAATCTATATTTTAAAAAAAAAAGCATGTGGCCCAGAAGCTAGTTCTAAACTCATGACCCTCCAAGTGAACCTGAAAGATGAAGAGTGAAGCCACAGCTGACCCAACGCAGGAAAGAATGTGTTCTTCTTGTAGGTCAGAAGAAAAGGTTAGATCGCACCTGTAGGCAACCAGAGTATGGTGTGACGTCACTGTCAAAAGTCAGAAGTGACAGCATTTTATTCTCCCAGGCTGTGTTTATTCTTTTTCCAGCATTAACAAAAAGTTTAATCATTCAAGTGTTTTTTGACGAATGTAATATCAGACATCTTTTATTAGCTAAATGGCTAACTTTTCATTCTGTGTCAGCGTGCATGGCATTCTGAAGGTGCTGCTAAATCAGACCCTAGCGTTACTCCATATCTACCACTTCTGTCTGTAGCCAGCAAAAGTTATCTCGCTTATGTGATTGGATGTTTGGTAGTAAGACAAACCCAGAGGTTTGTACAAACTACACAAAAATACTCTACTACTGGGCTACAACCCATCTTCCCAATGAAGATGGTCACCATCTTGTGGCTTTTCTTAATTAAGTAGGGCTTGTGGTTATTTATAGTTTTCAAGGTAATGAAATCAGCTTCCCTAAAATTTTATCGTGTAACAAATCCTAAAGAAGTGTCCACTGTATCACCTATTCATATTCTCTAAGTTCCGTTGAAAGTGCTAAGACCGAGTAGCCAAGGTGCGTCCATTTTTTTTCTAGACAGATGAACTTAAAGTCGGGAAAGTCCTGAGAAAATGTCCATGGTTTTACCCAGGCTTCAGTTGTGAGTTACTAATGAATGGTATAGACTCAGTTTCTAGAGCATTCTCAAGTTGAAGACTGAGGGTTTTTAATTCAAAGAGAAGAAAATGAAAGGTTAGAGGAGGATGCTCTACGATGGCACCGCCCTTTTGAAAGGTATAGTTGCTGACACCAGCCATAACGCTGGATCATTAAAGTATGACAATAAGCAATTGATAATTCAGTAATTCGATTCATTTTGGGTTAACCCTTGACTGATATAACAGTGATTTATGTCAGTCACCGTCCTTGAGGTTCAGTGATGGGCTACTGGGTCTGTGGTACCTTGCCGTCTGCCTAGTGTTTAATCTGGAGGGAATTTTCTTTTTCTTAGGAGATCCAGAGTTTGCTAACTAACTGGAAGGGGCCAGACCTCACCAGCTTTGGGGAGCTGGTACTTGAGGGGACCTTCCGCATCCAGAGGGCCAAGAATGAGAGGACTCTCTTCCTCCTGGACAAGCTGCTTCTCATCACAAAGAAGAGAGACGACACCTTCACATACAAAGCTGACATCCCGGTGGGTCCTCGTGGGGTGGCAGGCAAGGCCTGGGGTTGGGTGACTTGTTGTGTGCCCTGTGCACCTCACATACTGTGCTCTCTGCTGCAGTGTGGCAACCTCATGCTTGTGGAGATCATAACAAAGGAGCCGCTCAGCTTCAGTGTTTTTGACTACAAGAACCCCAAGATACAGCACACAGTCCAGGTAACAGGCCAGCCACTCCTGGGTCCCCACATGGGAGAGGTGCGCAGGGCCCAGCCGCCATCTCTGCATTGCCTTGCAACTCACTGCTTAAATCTCCTCTGTAGGCCAAATCCCAGCAAGACAAACGCCTCTGGGTTCTGCACCTGAAGAGATTGATTCTGGAGAACCATGCAGCAAAGATCCCAGCTAAGGTGAGAGAGAGAGGTCAGTCAGAACACAACACACAGCACACAAGGTGGCTTCTGAAAGGGCCCAGGCCCTAGCCAGGGGTCTGACAGGAAACAAAGCCCAGCTTCAAAACAGAGCCTAACAATCAAAAGTCTGAGGCGGAAGGATGGCCAAACAAAATCCTGTCCACGAGGTTGAACTTTGACATATGAGTGTGTGTATATGTGTGTGTGTGTGCTTGTGTGTGTGTGTGTGTGTGTGTGTGTGTGTGGAGGGAGGGAGGGAGGGAGAAAGAGAGAGAGAGAGAGAGAGAGAGAGAGAGAGAGAGAGAGAGAGAGAGAGAGAAAGGAATCAATGATCAATGGCACCAACTACAGATTTACATGTCTTAGGCTAATGGAGGCAATGTTACTAGCTACTCCTCCCCCCCACCCCACCCCCAAGAATAAAGGGGGACAATAAGGAAGCTTATAAAGAACTAACAGAAAATACAGGGAACCCCTCTGAGGAGGTCGAGAGCCTCAGGAGGCTGTGTTGGGTCCTGTGGGAACAGCAGGAAACCAAGCCCAGTTTGGCGGGAAAGGAATTTACCAGGAAAGAGCAAGCTGCTCGCCTAACCCAGATCTGTGTGTGTGCTGGACGTGGGGAAACAACTGTGCCGAAAGCCAGGTGGCCTGGGGCAGGAGGACAAAGTGTTCAGCCCTGGGCAGTGAGGGGGAGGAAGGAAAATGCCTCCTGCTTTCGTGAAGGATGAGGAATGTTCTTATGAAGTTGGGGTGAGGGAGGGGACCGGGGCTGAGACGACCAAGTAAACAAAAACAGGTGTGACACCCTGCTCACCAAACACAGCTGGTGTTGGGACCAGAGGGCCAGGAGATAGGGCAGAGGTAAGGCTGGGGTAGAGGAAGTCGGCAAAGCAGCCCGTGGAGCACAATGCAGGGAGCAGATGCCAGACAGGTCACCCAGGCAAAAGGAACAGATGTCACCCTCTGAGATTGCACTTGAGTCGGAAGTTACAGGAAGGGCTTAGGGTTGGGAGTTAACCAGACGGGCTGGGCTCACGGAGGACACCTAACCGGTTAGATGGGAGCAGAGGAGCATCTGACAAGGTGAATGGAGGTGGAAATTCAGGTTCTGGCAGCCCCAGGGATTAGGAGAAGCAGTGATTGAAGCCCTATAGTTTGACAGGATGGCCCACAAGAATGTATAAAGGAAACCGGGACTCCTGGGAATCCCAGCAAGTCCTCTGCTGGGGGGGGAGGGGGGGACGCTTGAAAGACAGCCAGGGATAGCTGTGAGGACCCTGAGGAGGGTACATGATGAGGAAGGCGGGGATAGCAGCTAGAAAGTGCCATTGAGATGCAGAAGATGGATTTGGAGAATGTTTGCAGTGGGTTAAAAAGAAATGAGGAACCGGCTGAGTAGAGACTTTTTTTTTTCTCAGAGTTCAAAAAGGTGTGGTTTAGAAGGCAACTCAATCAAAACAAAGCTTTCCATCTGAGTGATAAACAAGGTGTTGGTTGGTGAGCTGTCTGGGAAGATTAGGAGGTAGCAAGGGTGAGGAAGGGCCATTGTGGTGGTAGCGGTGAGAATCAAGAATCGTAAATACAGGAATGATGGGGGTAGCCTGGGAAGGAGTTGAAAACATGTTCCCTGAACTGGGTAAAGAACGAAGAGAGATGGCAGAGGAGCGATGAGGGGGTGAAGACAGCGTGAAGGGTTAGAGGAGCTGGTGTGGGTGATGAGGTCATCCCCTGGATGGAGCAGGCATGGGGTGAGTGCGCGAAAGTGGACAGGGTCAGACTCACGCTAAAGAAAATGGTCTGGTTGTTCATGGTGACTCAGCTCCTTTCTGATAGGCACCAGCGATCCACCTGGGGCTGCCACGTGAATCAGTGTGATGGTGTCGTGGCAAACTGCTTAGCAACGTGGAAACTGCTGTAAGGGACTATGGCACTCACGAGTTCCTCTCTAGGGGTGGCAGAGCTGGGGAGCGAAGGGTTCCTACAAGGAGAAGAGCGCACATGTTCATGAGACTGCAGCTGTCGGGACTATGATTCCTGGCTGAGTGGGGAAGAGATTTCTGGTCTATTATGGGCAGCTGGTTCGTCGGGAAATAGGGAATCTGTAGTTGAAAACAGTTCCTAGTACCTTGCCTGGGTGGCCAGGCAATCCTGGTATGTTCGGGTTCTAGGATGGCCGAAGTGCCCTGCTGCTACTGTGGAGTAGGGGACATGGGGGCTAGAAATAAAGTAGCAAAAGCCTAAGATAAAGGGATGAGTAGCCGTCTATGAGGATGGGGTGATGTCTGTAACAGGACCAAGAGGAGAGAAATAGAACGGAAAATGGGATCAGAGTTGGCAGAGGAACACCCGGTGGGGAAAAGGCAAAGGAGTTCTGGGAAAGAAGAAATTTGTCTTTGGTGGGTTGGTTGGTCTCACTAGGTAGCCCAGGCCAGCCTTGAACTTGAAATTCTTCATCATAGCCCCACCCCCACCCCTGGCCTCCTGAGTACTGAGATCGCAGGTGTACCCCAGGATGCCCAGCTTGCCTTCTCCATATTCAGCCTGATCTTTAGGAGCTGTGCCAGTAGTGGCTTTACGTTCAGGAAATGAATTCATAGAACTGTGTGCTTGGCCTGAAGTGTGAGTTTCTTTTCATCAGGTACAGTGAAAGACCAGAGAACTCAGGCAGAACAGTGATTGCCTTCTCTCGTGGTTACTCAGAGGCAATGCCCTTCTGAGAGGTGGCACCTCGTCTTTGATGTGCCCCACCTACTGTTCACAGGAATCCTAGGAAAATCAAATTGCTTAATAAGATCCTGAAAGGCAATTATAGTCAGTTACCAAATGAGGCAGCTTCCGTGCCTGTCCTCGTCCTTCTGGTCCATGTATTCCTGGTGGTTTCCCCTTGATGCTTAAAACAATTAATAAAGGCACAATACAATTATTCTTTTCACTCAAGTTATTAGTCCATTAGAATCTAAGATGGATTTTAATTTACAGCTTATTGAACACATATCCATTGTGATAAGTACACTTACTTCGCACTCAGTAAAATATCTCAGAGATGGGTCGTGTTCTCCCCCATGTTAGAGAAATACAATCAGAGGTTCAGATATAGGAAGTAAATTGTCCAAGTTTTATAACTAGTGTATGGCCAAATACAGATTCAAACCCAGGTCAAAATCTGGCTCCAAAGAGCCTCTACACCATATTCTCCCCCACTAGAAATGAAAACAAACCTATTTAATATACTTTATCCACTATAATGTTAAAAACAATTCCTCGCAGTATTTAAGTAGGGTGATTAAATGAAGGGGTTTTTTAAATCTTTCATCGAGACTATTCAATTGTTTTCTTAAAGCTTTCAAAATATATTTATTTCTACGAAATCAAACAAATGTATAATGGGGCACTTTAAACAACTAGACATGTGTAACCCCGGGCTTCTAATGTCAACACAGCTGGCGATGAGTCACTGAACGCTGCCAACCTCCGCCCAGACCTCTGACTCCCTGGTGGTCCTCAGCTGCCACCTAGTGGACAACAGGGGAATTCTTTTCTGAACTAATTTACAAGATTTAAGGGGATGATGCTGTTTTAGGGATTAACTTTGTTAAGGGAAATTCTTGGAACCAGTCACATGCCCCAGATAGATAGATAGATAGATAGATAGATAGATAGATAGATAGATGGATGGATGGATGGATGGATGGATGGATGGATGGATGGATGGATAGATAGATAGATAGATAGATAGATAGATAGATAGATAGATAGATAGATATCTGAGCCAAATTAATTGAGCATAAGTATGAAGTAAGTGCTTCTTCATTTTAAATATCAACACAAAACTAGAACACTAACTACCACTTGTGTTTTAAATTAATTGCAACTAGTAACCTCAGATTCCAAATATAAAACAGAAATACAAGCGTATGAAGTAGACAACTACTATTTCTCAAAATTAAGATAATTCGGTATTTTTTTCAATCTGTGCCCCCATCTTTATTTTTTAAATTACGTGTGTTTACCAGATAATTTGGCATGATATCATAGATTGCAGCAAATTAGAAACAAAATCATTTTAGTTATTACAGCATAGCATATGTAGATTAGACTATATTATCCTCGAGGGGAATGCAAACAGCATTGGAAAGCAAGAAATGTTACCTTAACGGACTCCCCCTAACAATCAGCTGGCAAAAGGGTGGGTTAAGAGAGTTCAGCTTGTTTCTAAGTCTCTGGGCTTTAGCAACATGTGACGACAGAAACAGCAAGCCGCAAAGTATTCTGGGTAGAACGACCAAGTGTGTGGAGAGCCGAAGCCTCAAGGCCTCAGGCTCCATTTCCCGAAGGGTGGTGACAGGGACTGTGCCTGTGCTTGTCAGTCAACGCTAACAGCACTCAGAAAGGTGGGTCCTGCCATGAGACCTTGGAGTTGAGAAAGCGCATCCAGAGAGGTGAGAGCCACCGGCTCTGGTTGCTCTGGGTGACCACCTGAACTGCAGCTGCAGCTGGACTTCCGTGTGCTTGCAGCTGTTTCTTTGCTTTTTTTTTTTTACTAGAGTAACAATACAGTATAAAACTATCTACAAGGATATGCTAAGCAACCTAGAGCTGATTTCGAGTTTACAGGAAGATGTGTATGGCTCTGTACAAAGGCAGCGTCTACTTGGGTGCTGCAATCTTGTTCTTGCTTCATCTCTGTGGCTGTGATCCTCTGACGAGAGAAGCAGCTTGTGTGGGGGTGGGGGAGTTGTTTCAGCTCACAGTTCAGGTTATACTCCTTCATAATGGGGACATGAATGAAGACAGGAACGTAAAGCCACCAGTCACATGACACCCACAGTCCAGGGCGGAGAGCCTCCTACTGAGTTCACTGTCTCTACTCTTATATAACTCAGGGTTATGACCCATAACAGTTGGCCTTCCCATAACAAAATAAAGAAGATAATCCACTGCCCCCGCAGATATGCCCACACGCCAACTTGATCTAAACGAGCATTTCTCAACCTGTGGGTCGCGATCCCTTTTGGGGTCACCTAAGACCACTGGGGAAAACACAGAGATTTTCCTTACAATTCATAACAGTAGCAAACTTACAGTTATGGAGTAGCAATGAACTAGTTTTATGGTTCTGCGGTCACAACAGCACCAGGAACTAAAGTAAAGGGCCCCAGTGCTAGGGGGTTGAGAACCATTGCTCTAGACAGTCTTTCATTGAGACTCTCTTCCCAGGTGAGTCTAAATTGTGTCAAGGTGACAGTAAAAACTGACCATCAAGTTTTCGCTGTATTGTGTTGAGTAGGCAGCCCCTGCTTTTCCCCATGAGGGACTCCCTTTGAGTCCCCTGAACTATGTATTAATGCCTAAAAGAAATCGCGAGGGTTGTTTTTTAATGTTCTGTTTTCTAAAACCCATTTATTTGAATGTGATAAGATCTCTGTCACACTTGGCAGTTTAAAGAAGAAATTGGAGAAAAAGAGTCAATTATATCTACATTTTTTTTTTTTTTTTGTCTTTCAGGCCAAGCAGGCAATACTCGAAATGGATGCCATCCGTAAGTTTTTGTTCCCTTAACATTCTTTGAGAAGATGCCGTTATCCTTTTTTGTGTCTGTCACATTCTTATCTCAAAGCTTGTAAAATGTCAGTTATGGGAAGCCAGCGGCTGTTCACTTGCTCTTAACAGCTGGAGCAGACATGAGCATTGCTTTCTAAGACGCTGCCTTGTTTCTGCTTTGGTTCTCCTGGTTTTCCTGTAGCATACGCTATGGCTAGTCACACTTCTAGTTTCCACAGGTCCTAAAACTGTCAGGTGAGCCTCCAGGGAGGGCTCTTCCTCTCACCTCCACCACAATTAAGGGAGGGAGAAAGGAAATACAGTGCATTTACTTACCCATCCTCCCCCCCCCAAAAAAAAAGGTCCCTTCTTATCATCTACAAGAACCTTTATCGCTTGTGCATTACTGGTGTTTCTGATGTAACACAGAATTCCAAAAATCACGGCCCCCCCTACACGATCACCATACCTTCCTCTTTGCAGACCATCCAGGCTTCTGCTACAGCCCTGAGGGACAGATGAAGGCACCATGTGGCTCCAAAGAAAACCCTGCACCGCATCGGCAGAGGCGGAAATCTGGTAAGCAGGAAGTTGCCACTGAAGTTGAACTGTAATGCTGAGAGGGACAGAAAGTGGGTACCTTTCGGACTGGCAGACATTTTCTGACTGGTTGTTGGTTCGAATACATCTAAGGCTAACATGGACAAAAAAACAGAACACCCCTCAAGCCTTTCTTATTTGTTTATTTAGCTTTATTTATTTATTGGTTTCTCGAGACAGGGTTTCTCTGTAGCTTTAGATCCTGTCCTGGAAACTCACTCTATAAACCAGGCTGGCCTCGAACTCATAGAGATCCACCTGCCTCTGCCTCCAGAGTGCTGGGATTAAAGGCGTGCGCCACCACCACCTGGCTTTCTAGCCTTTCTTTAAAACACCTCCGTACTTAACTCTTTCCTGCTAAGTATAAAATATGTCAACCAGCAAGGTATGATGGCACATGCCTTTTGCCCCAGGCAGAGGCAGGCAGATTTCATTGAATTGGAGGCCAGACAGAGCTCTACAGTGAGACCCTGTCTCAAATAAACAAACAAATAAACAAAACAAGCAAAATGTGTCAACCAACTGCTTCTGCTTTTTATGGTACCTCACCATTGGTAAGTACTCCCTTACGCCCTATTTGCTGTTACTGGTATACCTTGTGAATGACACACACAATAGTATTCAAGCTTAACATTTTGATTTGCTTAGTGTTCTCTTAGCTCTCAGTTCTTGGTTTCATATGAAAGAGTATTAACGAAGTCCACTTTACCCTTTACTATAGGAAAGGAATGCCAAGATAAGTAGCAATTACAATTTTCATTTATAAGACCCTCACTGTGGAGTAGACCAAAAAAAGGAATAAATAAATAAATAAATAAATACCGGTCTCTTTGCTAAAGATTTGGCATGTGCAGATGGAAAAGAGGGTGAAAAGATGGAGGAAGAGATTCCAGGAATGAATGAGACCAGTCAAAGACTGATACCCTTGATGGGATGGGAAATAGAGGCACAGGGTTGGAATCGTCCATGCAGAGCCCGAGGACTTGAGCCAACAGACTACAGGGCAAGTAGTGGCTGTCAACAGCTCAGCCTGGCTGGAGCGAGGGATGGAGCTGAGGTGGAAGAGGACAGTGCAGGGTGGAAAGAGAGATGGGGAGAGAGGACCACAGCTAGGAGCCTGATGATGAAGGATAAGCAGGCTGTGTATATGTGTGACTGTGGCAAGGCAAAGGAGGCTTTCAAACTAAGCATACGTGCCTTCAGTAGAAGCTGGCTTCGGGTAAAGAGCCAAGTAGGCAAGGAGTTGGGCATCCCTCGTCCCTGTCCAGTCTACGTCCTGCCCCCACACCCACCACATACGGCAGCCATGCTAGTCTAGGGGAGAAATGAAGGCCTAGACAGAACGGGGATGGCTTAGGGATGCAGACTGGTGACTTGGTCAGCTCACTGTAAGCTTTTTAGACTGGTGGATGAGAACGAGATGAACTGAGAATGGCATTGTGGTCCCTAACTTGGGAGACAAAAGTCATTGATAAATCAGCTGGTAGCAGACGGCAGGTGAAAGGCCAAGAGGAAGCAGTGAGCTCAGATTGAGAAGAGAGAGGTAGCTGGATCCAAAGCCTGGGTAAGGCCCTCAGCCTGGGATAGAAAATCGTAAGTTGCCAGCTGATGGGCTGCAGTGGCAGCTGCGGGAGTTGTTCCACGGCTCGGCCTGTTGGTAAAGTAGCACCTGCCCTTCTGTTCTGTGACTCCTGACCCTTTGGAGCCTATCCTACCATTCAGCAGAGTGAATTGCTCACACCCGAGTATCTGTGAGCACTGAGAATTTGAGTGAATTGGGCAGAATCTTTCTAGAGCCCGGGACTGAGGATATTGCCTAGTTGAGAGGGTGCTTGCCTAACATGCACAAAGCCTTGGGTTCTTTCTCTGGCTCCACATAAAGGGAGCTCCTGCCTGTGGTCTCTGTACTTCGGAAACAGAGGCAGGAAGTTCAAGAGTTCAAGGTCGTCCTCAGCTACAGAGCTGCGGCCAGCCTGAGATGCGGGAAAGCTTGTCTATAACAGACAAATAAAAAGAACATTTCTAAAGCTCTTAAAATGTCAATAAGTTACTAATTTATTTATGAGAGAAGGTATCGATTTGCAAATAATGCTGGCTTCCCTCTCCCCTCAGAACCTTCCTCCCGGACGCGCAAAGTGTTGAAGACCAGTGGTGAGTGCAAAAATAGAGTTGCCTTTTTCATTCTTAGTTAATCATCATATAGAAGAAAATTATGTGTTAGGTGCATGGTAGATTGGGAGGTTTGATAGCTAGGTTGCACAGAGATTGAATGTTTCTACAAGCAAAAGTGTTCTGTTGCAAAACAGTTGATGGAAGTTATTTGCAACATAGCTGTCAGACATAAAATTAACATCTCTCAGAAAGAAATGTTATCAACAAAAGCAGGAGGAAAAGGACCCTTAAACATGTAATAATGCATGTAATATGTGTGCTATATACGTCTATACATATATATGTCCCAACGTCCCAGAAGAAACAAAGTGCTAATATATTTTAAAGTTTAAAAAGACACCTGCATCAGTAATTGAAAAAAAGTATTCATTTAGTGAGAGAACTGGACAGAAGAAAGCTATGAATTTGATGAAAAGACACTGTAAAACTCTTGGCAGGAGGGTAAATTTTTGCAACTTTTCCTGAAAAATATTGAGTAATTCCCATTTAAGTTCAAAGTGGTAATTTGCCCTTGATCCAGCAATTTGACCTCTAGGCTCATATGACTGTGTCAACAAGTCCAACTAGAACTCTGCATCTCTCTCAAGATGAGCTAGGCCTTGGTATGGTGAAGGTCAGGATTTTCCAAGGTCAACTCCTGTCTCAAGTGCTCAGGGAACCTGGTACAACTCCTGTGTTTTTCCTGGTGTAGAATATTAGCTACAGAAACAACCACTATTTCTGGATAGAGCGACCATGCACTATGTAAAAGTCATTCTCAACTCCATAAGAAGTTCAAGTTCAGCAAGTCATCCACGAGACCCTGCCAGAAACAAAAAGGAAGAATATTTCTAGACCTCTTAAGATGTCAATAAGCGACGAGTTTGTTATAAGGGATAAACTTGATTTGGGTTTGTAGCATTTTAATATCACATTATAAAATGTCCATCTGGTAGGAAATAGTATGTTCCTAGCTATCGTGGAATGTTCTGAGTTTGAAAAGAATGAAGTCAATCTCTCTCAACCAACACATGCCTATATATTTAGCAGAAAATATACCGATGTGTAATGAATCTTTATTTAAAAACCAACAGAGCGACTTTACACTGCAAGAAGGTGCGAGACAGTGGGTATGAGATGCAGAAAAATGCACACCAGACTGAAGTGTACCTCTCGGGAGGAATTTGTGGGCAGAGAAGCACTCTGCAAGCTTACCTGACTAAACACTTGCAAAGATTAAATGTGCATTAATAGGGTGTCTATAAGACACATGTATAAATCCCCCTCCATGGCAGGATCAAGAAGACCTCATGGATAAATATTTCATCTTCATTTAAAGCCCCAATATGTCTAAAACTCAACAAAAGCATTCTCCTGTCTTCAGGGGACTTTTATGGCCTATGACACAGGCCTTGCTTTTCATATTTTTTGTTAGAAAGTTTTGGAAACAATTTACCCCTGAATAACTGCTCTCAGGGATACAGAAAATGGCTTTGGCTCATAATGTAGCGTGGTTCTACTATGGTAGAGAATGTGGAACAGATAAGTGAGGGAGTTTTTTGTTTTGTTTTTAAAAAAAATGGATCTCTTGAACTTCAGTTATTAACAATATGTGTACAAGCCATATAGAAATAGAAATGCTTATCTAAATTTTAAATTTTCAAACTTAAAACTTTTTTTTTTTTTTTTAGAAACTGCACATGATATCCAGAAGGTAAGCATGATCACATTTCTTCTGAAGGGTTTGCTGTGGGCACCTTTTACCTCACTGTCCTCCCTTACTGGTCTCACCCCAGCCTGAAGTGTCAACATTTACTTTACATTTTGACAACCTTATCCACTTTGCATTGTCAGCTAGTTGTCCTTGATTTAAGGGAAAGCAAATTGTTTTCAACTTACTCCCTCCCATTTCATCACTTGCAGTTCAGGCAATTAATTCTACCCATCCCTGTGGTCCGCTTCTCCCCTCAGAAGCTATGACCACCCTTAGACAGTGACATTTACTGAAAGATAGTGTGGCCAGTCTCACACTGCCCTGTACCTGTCTCAAGTTAAAGCCAGGCCCTGAGATATATATATTTCCTGGGTCTATCTAGCTCCCTTCCCAAAGCACTGTCAATCACCAGGATGATTGAAGACTATGGTCCTAAGATATAATAAATATATAAAGTCCCTTCTATTTGGGAAAACTGAGGCAAGAAGAATGAATGAATGAATGAATCCAGAAGTTTAATTTCAGCCTTGGCAACATAGTGAAACCCATTTCAAAAGAAAAAAATTACAACTAGGAATATAATCCTTCTGCTGGTGCAGCAGGTATGATGTGTGATGCCATGAAGCTTCGCGAGGTCAAGTTGTATCTAAGTAGTGCTTGTGTTCCTCTGACAAACCATTAGGAGATGGTAAGTGCTCACTGTAGAGCTTTGTCTGCTGCCAGCAAGCCTGAGGTTCTGGGTGCTGGCACACACCTTTAATCCCACCACTCAGAAGGCAGAGGCAGGTGGATCGTTGTGAGTTCGAGGCCAGCCTGGTCTGCAGAGCTAGTTCCAGGACAGCTAGGACTGTTACACAGAGAAATCCTGTCTCAAACACACACACACACACACACACACACACACACACACACACACAAATAAAATAAAATAAATAAAATAAAATAAAAAACAAAAACTCACCACTGAAGAAAAAGTAAAATGTTTTGTCCTATTGGACATTGTGTATTAGGTTTGTTACCTGGAAAGAGGAACTGGTGTATCCTGACCTGAGTGACTTTTCCAATATGGCCACTGATGGGTTGTCTTAACTGACACTTCCCAGAGTATTTATTGTGGTTTCTCATGTAAGACCCAAGGATGTACCATCCTTCATAAGGATGGGGCTCTAATCATCTCTTCCCCTAATCCCATTTGCACCATGGTTTAACAAAGGGACAAAGGGACCTTGTTGATAAAGGCTGTATCTTCATTTTTAAAAAACCCTAGCACTTGGAAGGCAGAGACAGGGGGATCTCAGTGATCTCCAGGCCAATCAGGGCTACACAGTGAGACACTGTCTAAAACCAAATCAAAACAAAACAACAACAAAATAAAACCCGACTTTCAGTTGTCAAAAACTCAGTGTGGACTTAGGAGGGGACTTCAGCGGCTCTAGGATGCACTCACGGTCTTTCAGATACTATTTGTTTTCATCTGAAACTTTGTAACTGTATTGACTCTTCATTGTGAAACTTAACTTTCTGATCTTTGCCTAAATTGGGTCACCTACAAAAGTACTCTGTGATAGAATCCTGGAGCCAAGCCCCTCTCTGTACCTAACTGAGTAAAAAAGGTTAAGCTTTCCCATCTTAGGCAACTTTCCAACAGTGCTCAACCAAGTCCATTCAGGACTACCGAGCTTTGTGAAGATAAAAGTCAAACAAGAACAACAAACAAACATACTACCGGGGTGCTACTTCAGTAGCCAGATTCTGTCTCCTAACGGTGATGTGTATCCTCAGAATGTAAACAGATTGGCCTATGGCTTTACCACAGTTTGGCATCTCTTCCTGAGTATATATCCTGAACCCCTCATCCTGTCTTTCGCAGCTAAGTTCATAAATGAGCTGGGGTTAAGGCCTGAATTCAGATGCACTCCTGCCCTTTGTGATCGTCTCTTGCAAGCTTTTTCACCTCAGCAGGCCTGCCTTCCTCCTTTAGAAAATTACTAATGAGATGTCATGTGATAATATAATTTTTAAAGATGCCCAATACAATATTTGGCAAAAGGGCAAATATGCCATAAATGATCCTGTTATCAAATTAATAAACACACAAAATGGACAGCATGGAAAAACAGAGAGAGAAAATGGTCATCTTGGCCCTGGTAAAATTGAGGTTTAAGACTTACGTACTTCTATACTATGACTAACCCTACATTGATTATTTATTAATCTCAGAATTCATCAACTCTCTGAATGATGGACTGGGTACAGTGTTCAAAAATACTGCCATCATTGACTTCAATAGTTAAGAACAATATTAACAACAATTTGGGTTTAGTTACCCAAAACATCCATGACTTCTGGGGGCTAGATGAGTTCCAGGATTATTTCTGCTGCAGTGAGAAATACAGGGCTATTTTGTTATGCCCTCTATATCTGTCGTAATTTGATGGATGAATGCTAACTCATCTTCACTGTAAGGAGTTACCTGGTACCTGTGTTTTACAGGCACCACATCAGTGCAGTCTGAATGCAGGGAAAGGAAAAGATGCTGAAATTTTGGTTAAAAAGATTTACAAAGGCAATAAAATTATATAAAAATATTTTATGTCCGGATTTGTGAAAATTTCTAAAACTAAATGATTAATTGTTATAGGTTTTAAAGTTAAATAGAAAAATGTTAGGGTGGAATTTTATTTTTGTGCTATCTGCTGCTTTCTCCTTTCCTGGAACTAGCCCGACAAGTGGTAAGCAGTTCTTGCTAATTTGACATCTCCAGTAGGTTACTCATAGTGCTTTTATCAGGAAACATGTCCTGCCCCGACCGACTGAATCTGAACAAGCCTTAACTATTTCAGCTCTTTGAAGCTAGCTCTTCTGTGTCCAGAATAGTATCAGGTTATCTGCCCCCATCTCCAGTTCCCATGATAAGACCACAGGCCAGTCTGTTCTCCTTGCACGTTGTTATTCTCAGGAGATGGGATTTTTCTAGATGGCCAACTCCCATCAAGAAAGGTTCTAAGTGAAAAAAAGTACATTGTTTGATTAGAAAAGTTCCCTTATTGGTTGCAGCCAGGTGGTGGTAGCGCATGTCTTTAATCCCAGCGCTCAGGAGACAGAGACAGGTGGATATCCGTGAGTTTGAGACCACCCTGGTCTACAAGGGCTAGTTCCAGGACAGGCTCCAAAGCTACAGAGAAACCCTGTCTTTTTAAAAAAAAAAAAAAAAAAAAAAAAAAAAAAAAAAAAAAAAAACCGTGGTTCCCTGTATTTTTACTTCTAAAACAATAACTAAGCATTAGTTAAATATATTTTGTTAACAAATGTTAAAATACCATCATCTTAACAGTGGGTTAAACTCCTGTAACACAGCCTCCTTTCCTGGAGTCTATAAATTAAGATCAAGTTCACAGTGAGCCTTTCAGGGTTAAGGAAACCCTTGAAGTACGTCATCAAGTCACCAGCAGGGGCTCCTGATGGGATCAGAAATTACAAAAGGACTCTCAGGAGCAAGACATTGAAATGAAGGCCCCTAAAGTCCTGCATACAAGGTGGTATTAAGGCATAGGCCTCAATACATACTCATGTATACAATGAATAGCTACCATACTTGCTATATTCTGCTTCTGTTCTGTCTGGGAGCAAAGATTTTAGAGTCAGTTGGGTTTGAACTATAGCCTTACTACTAACCAGAAGAGATAGATACTATTTCAGAGCCTAGGTTTCTTCAATATAATCCTGATATATCTATACCTGGTTCATACTGACTGTGAAAATTACAGGCGATATCTGCAAATTCCCTATAGCTCAGTTTTTAATTAAATGTCCCTATCCTTTCTACCCCCTTTTCAAAAATCTGAAGTGCTCTCCAAATCACTTGAAAACCAACAATGGCTAGTGATCATTTTCTCTACCCAGGTGGCAGTCTGGCTACATAGGTGACATTCTCTAACCAGGTGGCAGTCTGGCTACGTAGCTGACATTCCCCCAGTCACACATCTTCCGCATGGTGCAACAATTCAGTTGCTATGTGTCTGTCTCCCTCAGGTTTCCAGAGAGGAAGGCTCTTCCCAGGTGACTTCCGCCACACCTTCTCCAGCCCAGAGGAACAGCCAGCCAAGCAGCGCCACCATCGTCAGTATGCTCCGCGGGGGCGGCGCCATCAGAAGCCTCTGGACGGATCCCCACATCAGGCAGTCCTTGTTTCCCAGCCGCCGGTCTCCACAGGAGAATGACGATGATGATGACTACCAGATGTTCGTCCCTTCCTTTTCATCCTCCGATCTCAATTCCGCCAGGCTGTGCGAAGAGAATACCTCCAGCCGCCCTTGCAGCTGGCACCTGGGACTGATGGAGCCCGCCGAGATCTCCAGCTCCAGTCACAGGATTGTCCGGCGGGCCAGCAGTGCTGGTGAGAGCAACACGTGTCCTCCTGAAGTAAGAGTGAGGGACAGCAATGGCTCTCGGTACTATCCTGCCGGAGAACTGCAGCATGGTCCTCAACTAGGAGGACAGGGAGGGATGACTCCCTTTGGGTCGTCTGTGGAGTTGACGATTGATGATATAGACCATGTCTATGATAACATAAGTTTCGAAGACTTGAAGTTAATGGTTGCTAAGCGGGATGAAGCCGAATCCTCTTTCCCCAAATCACCCAGAGACTCTGTTCGCCCCAAGAGCACCCCAGAGTTAGCCTTCTCGAAGAGGCAGGCTAGCCACAGTACAAACTCTCTCTACTCAAAGAAAGAGGCAGCTCCCAGTGCCCAAGAGGCATCTAACCAAAGCGTTCATGAACTCCAAGTAGTGGAAGAAAACATCTATGACACCATAGGGCTTCCAGACCAACCATCACTGGACTTCAAATGCAGTACACTCAAGCAGCCCAAAAGGAGCACCTTCCTGGGACTGGAGGCTGATTTTGCATGCTGCGACAGCCTGAGACCCTTCATCTCCCAGGACAGTCTCCAGCTCAGTGAAGAGGATGTGTCTTACCCTCAGGGGCCCTCCGATACTGACTATCTGAGTTTCTTGTATGACTCTCCCCGCTGTAACCTGCCCATCGCAGATAAGGCTCTGTCAGACAAACTGTCTGAAGAAGTAGATGAAATCTGGAACGACCTGGAAAATTACATCAAGAAGAATGAAGACAAAGCGAGAGACCGTCTCCTCGCTGCGTTTCCTGTCAGCAAAGACGACGTGCCAGAGAGGCTGTATGTTGAGAGCACCCGTGAGCTGAGCAGAGATTCGGGGCATGCCTCATCTATGCTCTCCCTTCCGGGGAGCCAGGCTTTTCTCATGCCTGGGCAAAGCAGGGTTGCCAGAGCTAGCAGGGTTAACTGCTCGCGTGAAGATGACCTGATTTCGACAGAAGGCTCCTTCGTGAGTCTTAACCAACTCTCTCTGGCTAGTGGAGTACCTCCTGTGGACAGTCCCTATGAACTGGCCAACTACAGCCTGCCCCAAACAGACCCAGAAAACTCTGACCTTGGGATGGAAGCCACAGATAAGACCAAGAGCAGGGTCTTTATGATGGCAAGGCAGTATAGTCAAAAGATTAAGAAAGCCAATCAGCTTCTGAAAGTGAGAAGCCCAGAGTTGGAGCAGCCACCACCCAGTCAGCATAAGCCCATTCCCAAAGACCTGGCGGCCATCTTGGAAGAGAAGAGGCAAGGAGGGCCTGCCATTGGTATGTTGCGTGCTCTGTTCTTCCTTCTTGACAGTCAGGTGTGGGAACAGGCTTCCCAGTTCCAACTGTCCTTAGAGCGGTCTCATAGTACACAGGCCACAAAGCCACCATTGGCCCTTAGCACTTTACTTCAGTTGGAGCATGTAGACTAGAGTGTTACTGGGCCTCAGGGTTGCTGCACATGTAATGTTACTTTAAAGTTGCTGCCTTTAGGAAAAGGTTTCTGGAAGGAAGCCCGAAATGTGGAAGAAACTACCCGCTTTAACCTATGAAAGAAGCATAAACACTTACCTATGAGTCGGCAATGTATGGGGGAGCAGGTGCATCTAAAAACCATTGGCGTTGAGAATCGTCTAGAATAGGGCTGCTGTTTGTTGCAGATCTCCCCCCGAAATGCTCACCCGTAGCCCAGAGGTGAGGGGATGGCTCAGTTGGTAAAGGTGCTCGCCATGCAAACACAAGGACCTGAGCTGAGCTCCCTAGCACTCGTGAGAAACCAGGTGCAGCATGACATGCCCATCATCTGAGGCTGGGAAGGCAGAGACAAGGAAGGGGAGGTCACTAGAGCTGGCTGGCCCAACAGTCTAGGCTCGGCCAGAGACCCTGACTCAGAAGATGAGGTGGTGAGTGACTGAGGAAGACATACACAGGCACACACAGCCACGAACACGTAATACAACAAAGAAGCAAGGACCAAAAATATTTGTGTATTTGTTTTTTGTCTCCTCTGTGTGCCTGCATGTGTGCCTATGTACAATGAGCATGCAGTACCAGAGGAAGCCAGAAGAGGGTGCTGGATCCACTGGAACTGGAGTTGCAGTTGTGAGCTGCCCTGTGGGTGCTGGACATCCAACCCAGGTCCTCTGGAAAGGCAGCCAATGCTCTCGAGCACCAACCTATCGCTCCAGCCCCCCATTTTTTAGGCATTTTTCTAAGCTACAATTCCCTTGCTCCCACTTATTCCAGCTACTACTTGGTGACCTTAAATAGCCGCTAACTGCTGTGTGTTCAATACCGTCTCGCTTGGTTTTGTCACGTAAAGCTTCCAAGAAGCTTAATTCTTCTGTCAGACTCCATTGTGGGCATAGCTGGGCTTCTAGATGTAACATGGGCAAGAATCAGGGGCGCAAGGGCAAGTGTTTTCTGGTGTGACATTTTGAAAGAGAATGAAACACTGATCCGTGAGAAAAGCCTTGAGTTGTGAATACAGCATGTGACTCGGTAGAAAAAAAATGCAAGAGGGACGTTCTGCTTAGGATATCTTTTCGTCCCAGACACTGATTTCTGGGGTTGGGGCTAGGAATCTGTCTTATTTACTCTTTTGAGACAGGGACTCATGCAGTCCCGGCTGGCCTCAAACTCACTGTGTCACTGAACTTTATTAAATTCTGACCCTCCTACACACACACACACACACACACACACACACACCCTAAAAGCTGGGGTTACAGGTGGTGCCCCCACACCTGGTTTTATGTGGTACTGGAATTGAACCCTGGCCTAGCCAAGCACTCTTCCAAATCAGCCACATTGTAGCTCCTGGAATCTGTATTTTAAAATCCAGCATGTTTTAAGGAATCCTACCCTTGTTACAACCTGTGACACAGCCTAAAATTCCAGGATTTGGGATATGGAAACAGGAGGATCGATGAGTTCTACCCAGTCCTAAGCCAGCCTGGGCAACATAGTGAGATCCTGTTAAGGAAGGAACGGAGGGAGGGAAGGAGGGAGGGAGGGAGGGAGGGAGGGAGGGAGGGAGGGAGGGAGGGAGGGAGGGAGATAGAGAGAAAAAAGAAAGAGAGAAAAAGAAAGGAAGGAAGAAAAGGAAAGAAAGAAGAGAGAAAGAAAGAAAGAAAGAAAGAAAGAAAGAAGAGAGAAAGAAAGAAAGAAAGAAAGAAAGAAAGAAAGAAAGAAAGAAAGAAAGAAAAAGGAAGAAGAGAAAAGTAGGGAAGGAAGGAGAGAGAAGGGAAGGGAAGAGAGAAAAAGAAAAAGAAGGAAGGAAGGAAGGAAGGAAGGAAGGAAGGAAGGAAGGAAGGAAGGAAGGAAGGAAGATATTGTATTCTCTGACAAAGAACTACCTCAGTATTCAAAAAGTCAGTTTTCCAATTAAAGGCAGAAATGAAGTCAGACACGATGGGACACACCTGTAATCAGCACCCAGGAAGCAGGTCTTAGTTTGGGAACAGCCTGGGCTACATAGAAAAACCCTGTCTCAAAAACAAAACAACAACAACAACAAAAAGCAAAAACAAAAAAAACTCCCACAAATATAGAAGTTAAAACAAAATGGCATCAGCAGAGTCAAGCAAGTCAGCCTCAGGACAAGGCACATTTGTGCACACCAAAGCCACTTAGACACATGAATGCCACTGACCTTTGTCTGCATTCGACTTTTTTTTTTTTTTTAAGTTTTTCGAGACAGGGTTTCTCTGTAGCTTTGGAACCTGTCCTGGCACTAGCTCTCGTAGACCAGGCTGGCCTAGAACTCACAGAGATCCGCCTGCCGCTGCCTCCCGAGTGCTGGGATTAAAGGCGTGCTCTACTACTGCATTCGACTTCTCTATCTCCATGGAAACTAGACAGTAATAAGGAGAGATCTAAATCCTAAATGAATCCAATAGATCCCTGAGGAGAAAGCGATGCCATAGTTTAAAATATTAATTATCAAAAGCTTCCCATTTTAATTCCAGATAAGGAAGTGAGGACTGGGACTTGGTTTCTGGAGGGCTTTACAGAATCTTTGAGTTCTTTAGAATAGAATTAAAGTCAAAGTTGATATCTGTGTGACCGTGAGAGAGACTGGAATGTATTTCTTTCCCTCCTGACAATAGCATCCGTAAAGTCATTTGTATCCTCTCCAGTGTTTGTCCTGCCAAGCAGCTTGTTTTATAGTTACAGGAAGTGACTGATGAACTGCAGGAGGACTTGGTGGGGTGGCATAGGTGGCCTTGGGAGAAGATCCCTAGTGGTGATTTCAACCCATAGCTGCGGCCAGGCCATTGTCTCCCAGGTTCCGAGAAAATATACTGCTATTGTTTCTGATGAGGAGGAAGAGTTGATTGTATCAGCAGACTACAGTTTACCACTAATAGCTAGGGCCAGCCTGACTGGAATACGAGCCAGTCATTAAGATGCAAAACTCTAAACTTGTTTAAAGCAAGCCCCTCAGAACTAAAGAATTGGGGCCTACAACTTCTTTGAATAGAATTCTTGTTACCCACCTTTGAAGTGTTGTGATTGCCCATTGGCATTTCATTTGCCTTTTTCCTTCTGGTTCATACTGTTGTCTTCTTGGGGTCCCACAAGATCTCTTCTAAGCTTTGCATCTGGGTCTTTTCTTGACATGGTGGGCTACTAGGCTGTTCTTGATGTCCTCCTCCAACAAAGAGGAGCATTCGCTCCCAAGGTGTCCTTCCGACAGCCTTGTCTTCCCTGGCCACATAGCAGGAGCATACCCTTGGGGCCTGCCATTTCTCAGACCTGGCTCCATCTGGGTGACCAAGGCCACTTCCTGTGCCCACCAGGCTTTCAATCAGTTGACATTATGACTCCTTTTCTCTCTCTTGTTTATCTGGGCACAGGACGTCGTAATCGAATGGACCGATTCTCCCGACTTCTGCGCATGGGCCTTGCCACTTTGCCAGGAGCTTGCTCTCGGTGTTGTGCGGAAGGAAGAGCACCCTATTCACCTGCTGAAACCCTCGAGCATCTTTATTGAACTCTGTCCCCGGGGTCTACAGGCCCCGGGTCACATGTCTACCTATAAATCACCCAACCAGGTCCAGTTGCTCCCACTTTTAGAGCTTCTTATAGCATGTGGCCATCTTGTTCAGCTGATGGGATTTGAGACCAAGGACACTCCTTGGGTTCCTATATTTTGGGTGATATTTTCATATAGGCTTGAGAGCTTTTTGTGTATGTAGGGAGGGAACAATTCTATGCTTCTGTTTATATCTGAGCAACATGAGAAATACTGATGTTTTTTAATCCTCTATCTAGAAATCAACATGTTTGATATTTCCTGACACAAGAATATTTCAATTTTTAATAATCTTTAATGAAAAGAACTCCACCTTTCAAACTTCAGGAAAAACAAAACAAAAACAGGCAGCCTGGTATTATCATATAATAATAATGTATATGTCCTATATGGACAGTAGCAGAAGTAATATCATAGGCAAACTTTGACCCATAGACTAGCCGGGGTTTCTAGACTGGAGAGGTCAATGGTGGCCAGCGTCTTCTATACATCTGTTTAACAGGGTCTTTTTAATCACAACTCGAGCTCTGAAAAGTTGTCTTGTTCATACTGGCATCGTGCTAGGTGTAAACGCTCTCCAGTGGGACAATCAAAACAAGAAACAACTGGGATTAGTTTTCCCTTCCAGTGAGATACATTATATCCAGAGTTTATCAATGGTCGCCTCTTTGTTAGCTGAAGATTAAAGTACCCAGAGGAGTTATCTATGGGAAGCATTTTAATCCAAGGCCATTTTCCTGTGTTCTCTTTCCTGCTGTGGCCCACTGTTCACGCTGTTCACGCTGTTCACGTTGGGTTGTCTCAGGAAAGGCCCATGAATTTGAAATCCTATGCTCAAAAGGAAAGGGTGAAAAGAAAAATCCATGTAATGAAATAGTTGAGATCAGCTTCCTTGAAGAAGCTATGTTTGGTGCTATTAGCAAAATGTACAACATTGTTCTCTGAGACCAAAACCTCATCAATTATCTGCAATAATAAATTAGCCTATGGAGGTGATTAGCCAGTATAGTTTTTCTGTTTGTGTGCATGTGTTTGAGTAAATGCATATAAGACTTTTAAAATGTATTTATTTGTCTTATTACATATGTGTATATGCCTGGGTATATACCATGTACATGCAGGAACCCTCGGATGCTAAACAAGTGTGTTGGGTCCCCTGGAACTGGAGTTTACAGGCAGTTGTGAGCTGCCCGATGTGGGTGCTGGGAACTGAACTAGGGTTTTCTGGAAGTGCAGCAAGCACTCTTGACCACTAAGCCATTCCTGCAGCCGCATAGGAAATGTACAAAAGAAGTTGGAAAAGGTGTTCCTAGTTGACTAGGGCTTGTGGAGGATTTTGAGGAATGGGTGAGGCTTGATTAAGCAAAGATGAGGAGAGTATGAGAAGAAAAAGGCATGAGAAATACAATGAGTATTTTAGACATTTCATACTACATGAGTATTTTTACATGAGCTGCCCTAAAGTCAGAAGCCGTGTCCTCCAATAAAACGTTATGGGTAAATTCATGCCAGAATACTGTTATTTGAATTATGCATCAGCTCTGCTCTCGCTCGGGTTATCATCTCTTGAGAGCTTTGGAGAAGCTCAGTGCCCCCTGACTCAGCTGTGGATAAGTTCGGGGCTACATACAGTGTGAGAGGGACGGCTGGAGCTCAGCCATATGACTTGGTCTAAAGTCCCGGCTCCTTGTGGTTGGGTCTCATGGTTAATGCTTTGAAAGGATGGCTGGCAGAGAACGCTGCAATGCAAGGAGATGGTCATGTATCTCCTGAGGTGCCACCACATTTGGACTGGTATTTTGAGTCTTTACTGTGCTGCTTGAAGAGCAATTTACCAAGTGTTTGCTTCTAGATATTTCCGAACAATATTCTCTGACCTTAAATGCAGTTTAAAATGGAGTTTAAAACCAAAGCATCTGGATATAAACTCTAACGAGACATTACACAGATGATGGTTTGCCTCAATTGCTGGGAGCTGGGGTCAAGGGATGAAAGGATGGAGGGGTTGCAACTAAAGGTACATGATACCCATGAGGTGTTCCCATCTTCAAGGAAGGTAGACTACAGAAATAGTAGAAGTTCGGCTAAATGCATCTCTCGCTGAGATGTAAAGGGTAGTACACCAACAGCAGGCCAGCAGGCATGGAATAGTTCCATTATATAGATAGATGCCATTTGTGGATTGTCATAGATAGGATGGACGTCCTTCCCAGATATCATGCAGATAAGATCTGAGCAATCCACAGGGTGCACAGTGTTCCTATGTGTGCCAGGATCACAGCTGGGGACAGCTCCTGAGTTGATGTGGGGCCTGGCTCAGGAGAACGTTCTCCATTGCATGCCATGGGTCATGTCTTTAGAGATGCCTGCACTCTGAAGTGAGGCTACAGTGGCAAATGGTTTTTTTTTTTTTTTGGAAGTAACTATCAAGTAACCATCAAAAAAAGAACTATCAAGTCCTGTTCTTTTTTTATATTTATTTATTTATTTATTTATTATGTATACAATATTCTGTCTGTGTGTATATCTGTAGTCCAGAAGAGGGCACCAGACCTCTTACAGATGGTTGTGAGCCACCATGTGGTTGCCAGGAATTGAACTCAGGACCTTTGGAAGAGCAGGCAATGCTCTTAACCACTGAGCCATCTTTCCAGCCCTCAAGTCCTGTTCTTAAGTCAGTGTCAGATTGTATTCAGTTGTGGAGTGCATGAGCAAGGGATCTGTCCTTGATGGCTTGGAGACATGGGCTATTGCTCTTGGCTTTGGGGGAATGGGAGAAGATACATGAGTTAGTCTTTACCTGAGCTGAATGTAAAGAACTCTCCCAGATGTTGGCTGTCAGGCAGCGGCATTAGAGGGTTATTTGGAAACCAGGGGTGTTGAAATAGCTGCCAGGAGCCAACCTCTCTAAGAACATTTGTCTGAGAGCAAGCAATAGTCGCATGAAGCCAGAGGTGACTATAGATAGCACTGTGGTTCTTCTTTAGTGGACATGAGGTGTCTTTATACACCAGAACATAAGCTCCGGCGTTCTCATTTGATTATGGCTTGTTTTCAGCGTTAACACTACGTTATGGATTAAAGGAATATTCACGACACACACTGGACCCTGCAGGTCCACTATTCAGATAAAACTGTAAAATTCAAAGAACTAAATGAGCTCTAATTTTTTTTTATTAAACTTTGGGTTATTTTTATTAGCATTGCATTCAGTAACTTCTTACCCTTAATCTTAAGTCTACTGTCTGTCTTTTAATACATCTATTAGGGTGTTATGTTCTTATAGCTAAGCTTCCCAGGCAGGGATAAGCCTATGTGTACTTATTGCTTCAATGTATGCCTTCCAGGTGCCAGGATTGCTGAATACTCCCAACTGTATGACCAGATCGTGTTCAGAGAGACACCCCCTAAAGGACAGAAGGATGGCTGGCCCAGGACCCAAGAACCCTCTCTCCACAGGCCTGTGTCACCTTCCCAGGCCCAGCGTGCTGGTGAGGACTGGCTTTGGCATTCGCCCTACAGTAACGGAGAGTTAGCCGATTTCTGTTCCCAGCCAGAGCAAGACTCAAAGTCAAAATATCCCACATTAGAGGCCATCACCAAAAGCATTCCCAGACAGTTGTCGGCAGCTTGTTCCGTGCCTTCTCTTCAAGAATCGGAGCCCCTGCTGGGCTCGGCCCAGCGCTGCAGCGTGGTGGTTAGCCAGCCCCACAGAGAGGACTGTCAGGGCTATCTTTACAACTCGCTGGGCCGCAAAGCAGTCGGAGCTAAACTCCAGCCTTATAGCAGGCCCCAGTCATCTTCCTCAATCTTGATAAACAAATCTCTTGACTCCATCAACTACCCAAGTGGGACAGAAAAAAAGCCACTGCTGTCTCTACAGAAAAGTTCCAGAGGTGCGAGCCAACAGGACTTGCTGTCGGGTGTGGTGGACTCACGTCAACAGGACACTGGAAAACGCTCTGATCTTACCCTCCAAGACTCACAGAAAGTTCTGGTGGTGAATAGAAATTTACCCTTAAGCGCCCAAGTAGCGACACAAAACTACTTTTCTAATTTCAAAGAGACTGAGGGAGATGAAGATGACTACGTGGAAATAAAGTCAGAAGAGGAGGAAGTGGGGCCGGATCTCTCTCTGAGTCGGGGCAGGAAATCTGACCCAAATATCCCAGACCCTGGCTGTTCTGGAAACATTTGTAACCACGGCACGTCTTGCTCTTTGAAAGAGCCCGTGAGCGGCAGGCTTGGGCTTCCCCCTTACTTGACAGCATGTAAGGACTCCGACAAACTGAATGATTATCTGTGGAGGGGGCCATCACCCAATCAGCAAAACCTTGTCCAGTCTCTGAGGGAGAAATTTCAGTGTCTCAGCTCCAGCACCTTCGCCTAGGATTCTAGAACTGTCCGAATTGGCTCCTCAGGCTTACCAGTTACCAATAGGGATGAGGTGTTTTGTTGTTTTTTAAATATATGTACTAGTTGAAAACAATTTTGTAACTGCCAGGGGTGTAAAACACCCTTTCCTTGCTTTATAGCACTGCGGCGCTTTGTGCTGGCTGACCGTGACGTTTCCCCCGTATCCTGACCGTAGCGCACTTACAGCTCTTAGATGACCCCCCCTCCCCATACCCCGAGGAGTTTCTTACTGTGACTCAGAGGCAGCATGAGTCTCTGTCACAGTGCTTCAAAAGAGAAAGTAGAGTTATTTAAAGAGTTCTATGTGGCATTTCTGTTATATTTATGGCAAGACTCAAGAATGACGCGTGCCAGAGACCGGTGATGAGAATATAGCCTCATCGTGTCTTAAGGTCTCCCCACTGGTGTTCCGATTGCATTTCATTTGGATGCCGACATGACGTGACTACTGGAAAAACTAAAATGCAGTCCTAGGATCCACTTGCTATTAGAAAACAAAACAAAAAAGACCAAAAAAAAAAAACCCACAAAAAAACCCTTTACCTGTGTTCCTAGACAAGGCCCAGATGGTATGCCACTAATCATGGTAATTCTACAATTTCTGGGGTGAAATAAACTATCTTTTCATGTCTTGAAAATTCCAAGCTCAAAAAAAAAAAAAAAAAGTAAGACAACTTAATTAATAGATGAGGGAGACTTCTGGAACAACCTGATTGTTTCTTCATATGGCACCTAAAAAAGAACTGCTCCCCCAAACACCACAACCCAAAGCCCCCACTCTACTGCTTTATATGCCCACCTCTCACCAACACAGAGTAGATCCTCAGTTAAAATAAGACAAAACACATGAATGACTTGTCTAGAGCAGTTCTTCATAGACCCTTTTCTGAACGCCCTACTTGAGAAGTCTTTGTCACAGAGATGGGAGTTTCATTTCTAAACAATGGTGGCATGGGGCCTCCTTCAGTGTTTCAGAACATATAGAAGACCTGAGCCTCTGGTTGCTAGGCTCTGGCTAGTCACTTCCTCTCCGTTGTAACTGTAGTTCTCTACAGCATTGCACTGTGATACCACACCAATCTAGCTCCTTGGAGATAGGCACGGAAGATGCAAAGAGAGAAATGAAGACAGACGTGTTGCTGCTTCAGAAAAGCGTTTTAATGAAGGCCTTATAAAGGCTGTCGGACTTTTGTCTTGCAGTACCGTGTTCTCATTTTACACAGGGGAATATTCTGGAGTCTTTCCTCACCCTCTCAGTTTCCATTTTAACTTATTTCTCTTTGTTCAAATTAAACAGTCAGTTCCATTTAGAAAGATATGATAGGAATTGTTGGGAAACATGTCTGGCCTATCGTAATGGTAAGCCGTAATAATGAATCACACACAGCTTCCCATGATCCTTTTCTTCTTGTTAACTCCAGGCCCCTTTCCGTTTCAACTGTGCAACATAAAAATGTGACCATCCTTATGTTACAAATAAGTTCCTATGGCGTTTCTGTTGTTCTTGTTGCTTTGAGTTTCCTGTCCTTCCGAACCCTTCACTCTTCCTGTAGTGACCGAGACAACATTTGGGGATAAAGGTGACACTTGGTGGTGGAGCCCTTGCCTCGAGTTCTCAGGCCCTGACTGACCCCTAGCACTGATTTACATGGTTCTGAAAACATTCCTTTTTCCCCCCAATGCTTTTATTTAAGCATGACGTTAGTTTTCCAGATAAAGCAACAGCAGAAAAGACGAGAACTCTGTTCTTAGAATTTACTAGACAAGTGCAAACACATTTGTGTCATTTGTTTGGTTTGCTTGTTTTTTTTAAAGTTACCTGACCCTGTTTCAAGAGATGTAGTTTACTGTTTTGTTTTTTCTTTTTGTCTGTGTGACGCACATTCCAATATAGTCCACGTTACTGTTCTGTCTGAGTCTCAGAAATGATAAATTCTTCACACCAGTGTCTTGTTGCACAGTTTGGTGTCAGCCTACAAAGGTGGGTGTTGTACAAAATGACTATGTATTCAGTCCTTTGGGTTCTAGGATAAATCTGTAGTTTTATTGATCACCTCTGTGTAGAGGCTGCAGACTTTGAGAGCCGTGTATGTATGTGTCTGTGTGTGTCTGTGTGTGTGTGTGTGTGTGTGTCTGTGTACGCATGCGGATGCTCCCTCAATGTTATCAATTCAGTGCTTTTGTTTAAAATGGTTTCTTTTGCAGGTGGGGTGGCGATGTATATACTTGGGGGGAAGTTTTATGTACTTAAAAGTTCTTACCTGGTTCCTATACTGAAGGTTCCAATTTTTTTTATATATATATATAAGTTCACGTTTCACCTCCTTTTTTTCTTTGTGGAGAAAGCAGTGCATCTTGGAAACCATGGTTTAAATACTGTATATATGACAATTAAAGTTAGTAATGTCCATTATTTAATAAAGTTTGTAAAGTGCAAAGTAAAATTTTGTTTGAATTGTGTTTGCACGAGAACATATGATTTTTTTTCCCCAAACCGTTAGGCTATAATACCCTTGTCTTGACTTGTGAGCCCACAGAGAGAATGAATCAAGGTAAACCCTAGTTAACTTTCTCAACGTGACATCGTCTACAAAGAAAGCCTCATTTAAGCACATTCCTAAATCTGATTGGCCCCGTGGTCATGTCTGTGAGGGATTGTCTTGATTATTGATTGATGTTGGAGGGTCCCTCCCACTGTGGGCAGCACCATCCCTAGGCAGGTGATCCTGGACTACATAGGAGAGCCAGCTGAGCGTGAACTGGTGAGCCAGCGAGCAAGCTAGCCAGCCCCGTTTCTAATGGCTTTTGCTCCAGCTTTCCAGCTTGAGTTCCTGCCTTGACTTCTCTCGATGCTAGACTGTGGGCTGGAAGCGTAAGTAAGCTGAGATAAACCCTTTCCTTCCCTAAGCTTCTTTGGTCATGGTGTTTCTACGTCATGGACGAACTAGGGCAGAGGACATACTAAGTCTCAGTGGCTCATGACAAACCAGTTGTCTAGATTGCTTTTGAAATAATAAACTTAGGGTTCAAGATGGTTTCTGTTTCATTGACAGGAAGCTAAAATAAGCCAGTCACTAGATTAAAAACCTTTTCATTGAAAAATATAATAACAAGACATCCTTTATTATTAAGTTGAAAAGTTAATCTAAATTTTTGGTAAAAAGTCAAGCTTAGTTCATACAACTTTACATTTCGATTTTTCTTGGATAGATTAAAATTATAGAGACAAAAGCATGCATCTATAAATGGGTAATTACTGAAGCTTTGTGAAGAAATTCATTTCCAAATATAAACAAGCCCTAGCCAAGTCAGTTGAAAAGACAGGCTGCCTGATTCCACCCATGGAGAAAAGCTGTTGAGCATCTTTCTTTAGACTGAGGCATCTCTAACATCATTCTGAAGAGGCCTTGGGTCTTCCCTACTGTGATGATTTCCTGGAAGTCACGTGTTAGACAAGCCAATGACAAAAAAAAAAAAAAAAAAAAAAAAAAAAAAAAAAAAAAA